CGATTCGGAATTATCGTTACGCGGTCAAAGTGGTTCTACGGTTACGGAAATGCACCATTGAAATTCCTCTGTCTTAAGATTGATAATATAGGTCGTTCTCTATCTTAAGAAGGAATAGTAGATAGCTTTTTAAAGAATCTCAACAAGGTAGATAGCCAACAATTCACTAACGTCAAAAAAGCTTGGATCTATGATAATTACCTAACTTCACGTTTAAATTGACCTTTTCTCGTCGAAGACTTTAATAAAACCCTTTTATCAAATTAGATGCAGGCGTCAGATACATCGGTGTTATTCAGGGATCCCATTAATTTTGAAATGAGTCTGTAAAGGCCGTCGGAACTCTATAAACACCTAAGAGTTTAAAGAGATATATTCTGGGGAACTCCCATGATAACATCGTTGGTAGCGATGCCCAATAGTCAAAGATGCCCCAGAGCCCTAGAGTCACGACTTCAATTCTATAAGCAGTTTATGATAAGAGCACAAAGCAACAGGAGTAGGGTTAGGCTCAAGTAAGAAGGGCCAAGCTACGCATACATCGAAGTACTTTTTTCGGCAAGATGAGAATGTTAAATATGTATAAGATCCATGCAATGAGTTTAGAGATGTAAAACGAGTGGTTAGATATAGGAGATTCTCGCTTTCCATTAGCGCTAAAATGGCGCACCTTAATTCATGAGTGCTAAAATTCTATCTCAATGCTTTCCAGATGACTCTCCCAGATCAGATTAATTTAGTGAGATGGGGTAAAGGTACCGAAAAAATTTGCTGTATCTGTAGAAAGGCATAGTTGGAACTGCTAAGCATTTGCTGGTGGAATGTAAGGTACTCTTGGACAGAGGTCAGTATTCGCGCCGTCACGATAGGAATCTGGAAATCATACGTACAAAGGTAGCCAAAGTGAAATAAACCCAAACGAGCGATCTGTAGATTTTGTGAGAGAGGGCACTAGGGCTCTGAAATCAAACGACAAGCCTTACTTGGTCCTGAAAGATGCTTCAGATTGGACTATTATGATGAATACGTACGAAAAACAATACCACATCCTCGAGGATAGTTGTGCGGCGGTTTCAAAACCCAACATATTTATGTATCCACGAATTTTAAAGAGCGTTGTGATGATAGGGCTTACGGTTCCTTGGGAAACTAACATCCCCGAAGATACCATTACGGTCATCCATTAACATCCATCATACCATTAAAGTCACAAAATATTACGAGTTTACTAACGAAATAGGTTCGTTTTGGGATTTTTACGTTGTAGAAGTGGGGGCGAGAGGTATTATAGCTAAATCTACTAAGTACCGAAATGTAGCTCGGCTAGTGGTTTCAGGTGATGAAGTTATGAGTGATGAGTGATGTGTACGATCCTGCTCTTGAGCTGTATGGTTCTATGGATGTATGATGTATGGCTAGTCTCATGTTATATCTTTGTTGGCGCGAGCCCGAGTGTTCAATTCATCAGTGCTGACGATTCGCATGCTGTGACACCCACCGTTAGTCCCAGGTAAGCCCCGGCGATCACCTCCGGGCAGCGGTTACGTTTTCTTAAAGAACGGCTCTCATTATTGACTGAGTTCCCAGAGCCATATAAGGCACACCAGTAACTTATTATCCAGTGTCCGTCCCCTATGTAAATACGATAGTCGATTCGTAGGTATGGTTGGATTTAAGGTGTTATTTTTATTTTTAATAATTGAACTTTATTAAATATTTTACATCACATTTTAAGCAAATATTCAACAAAATGCCAAAATAAAAAAATGGTAACTTAATTATGTGGACCGATAATTTAACATTATCGTATGTTTTTCAGTATTATTTGAATACCTATTTGCTCCGAAAATATTCTAAAATATTTATGCATTTCTGTAATAATATTACACAATAACTTTTCTTTTTTTTTGCAAAGTCTGTGAGAAGTACACAATGTACATTTATATGTATTACTCTTAATAATTATTTATTTATTTATTTTATTTAAAAACTTTATTGTCTAACTACACACGTAGATACAAAAGGTGGACTTAATGCCTGAAGGCATTCTCTCCCAGTCAACCCTTAGGCAAAGCAGAAAGACATGAAGACGGTAGTATGTAAAAGTAAAAATATACATATTAATTTCTACTAATAATAATTACACAGTATATATTATGTATATATCAGTATACATAATATATATACAGTATAAATATTTATATTTATACTTATACTTTACTTTCCTAATCATTTTGTTCTTGCCTTGAAAACAGTTAATTTTTTTTGAAATTGTCCATGTAATAAACTTGTCCTACGTTTATTTAACGCGCTTGAGACTTGAGTATATCATATATCACGAAATACAGAGAACACTACCTTTTGTACTAAATTTAAAAATTGTTACTTGTCTCTTATTATTGTTTGGATACTTACGAAAATACCGGATCTGTAATTTAATTTACGGATATCGATGTATGTTGTATGAAACTTGAATGATTGAAATAGTAAAACTGTTATCTGAAATAAAAGATATAAAATTATAAAAATCGGCGTTGCAACGCATTAAAGGGCAAAACGTTGAAATGACAATAAGGCGACAGACCGTATAAACATTTTAGTAGGTATTGATAAGTAGTGTGAATAAATTGGCGTACACAGTTTGGAAAGAAACTTTTCAGGTACCTCATGCCTACACCGAAAATATCGTGAGAATTTGGAAGTGGTTTATGAATTGATGTTCGTTTATTATAAATATACTTAAGCTTTTATCAAAAATGTACTATTCTTATAAAATTCTTAAAAATATATAAATAGGCGTGGTTTTGTGAAATCTTGATAACAGTGATACTTTTTTTTCTTTTTCTTATAGTTTTTGTAATACTCCAAAAGAAATTTAAATATAAAATTTACAACATTTGATATATTTAAATCGCCTTTTAAATTTTAACATAATAATTAAAAACGGAATTGATAAGAGGTTATCGATAAAAAGTAAAGACCACATGTATATTTTAATCTAGATACTTATAATTCGTTTTTTACGTTTAATTAGAAATTGAGGCGATAATGAATGATTTACCTAAAGACTAAGTAAATACCAAATATAATGATGATAAAAAAGTTTAAAATCAATCAGACATGAGCTAATGATAACAGAAACTATAAAAAATATGTTACATTACGTTAAAGTATGGAGCGATATGAGCAGTAATCAAAAACAATATTTTCCAGAATCCAGGCCCCGAATTGTTTATTAGTAAGGGTCGTCGGTGTGTTAATAACAACTCGTAGGCAGTTTTCCTGAAAAACAAAATGTTAACAAATGCAATATATAAAATTGTCATAACGTAGGATGGATTCATTCAATGAAATTTTGTTATTAGAAACCAAAAAAACATAGTAGTGGGTCGAACGATAACTTTACGTTTTTCGTAGCCTTAACACTATAGATTATAAAAAGCTATATACATATGGTAAAAAGCAGACATTTGAAGAATTGATTACCTCAAGTCCCAAAGATTTATTATAAGTATACATAACGACGCCAAAGGAAATAACATCGAATAACATGTGAGAAGCGCAAACTGCATCACTAAAATTAGCGACAGTTTTATTATTAATCATTAGAAAGATGAAACTTTAACACATAAAATTATCTCTAATACAGACGGAGTTTATGGTATCCTTTATGAAAAAAGTTTTCTGTTATTGGTTTGAGTTTGTATTCCCTTTCCCAACACGGAGCGTTTTTACAAAAAAATGAATAATCCGTTTGACGACTAAAACAATTGTAATAGTTAGTAAGATACAGAAAAACAATGTACTTGGTTGATATCACATCAAAATTAATTATTATATTTTTGTCGAAAAACTGTTTCTAATTTTAATAAAACTTGGAAATCGTCGAGTTATCCAGGGATATTAGTCGCGCACTGTCTACTCAATAACTTCAAAATGTAATTTTTTTCTGTTTTCCACCAATATAAATAAATGGAGATTGTTATTATTTTATCATTAGATCAATTTTGTCAAGTATTACTTGTAAGGCAATACCAGTGTTTTACCTTTTAAATAGATCAACAAGCGGTAGTATAACGTGTTCTAAAATTGTCATAACAACTACAGAAAGACAAATTTCATCTAAAGTTGTTGAAAAACCGTTGTTCATTTTCCCAAAGGGAACCATGTAATCTTGCCTATCTTCATGATCTTTATTGTAAAAAATCTAAAATAAGAATCGGTATTAACTTAACAAAATCAAGCAAAAAATTTAAAACAAATCATTTTTAAGAACACCTTAAATAAGATATTAATTGTACGTTTGTATGTATTTACCACTTACCCCTACATGCGAGAAAATTACCAAGACTGTATAAGAATTCATAAAACAAAAGAAAAACAATTTTATTGATATTGATATCTCATGTTTTATAAATGTTTTGTAATTTTCGAAATCAGTCATTATCAGCGCTAGTACTATGAAAACCTTAAATTTAAGAAAAACAATTTTTATTTTAATATCACATAACCTCTAACTCCATTACTGTACACCAAATGTAACCCCGAAAGTATGTGTATGTATGAATTATAATATATATGTCGATACCTCCCACGTAAGTTGTTGTATCTCCAAAAGTGTAATTTTACAGTAGAGCGTTTCAAAGATTCAAATTAAAATAAAATCTGCATTTATTGATGCATTTTTTTAAAATTTCGTATTAAAGTTTAACATAATAGTCTTCTTAACTACGTTACAAGATATTCTAATTAATATGCCTATTTGCGGAGATATTGTTGTTATACTGTTCATATGACATTTTACTCCGGAGTAGAAGCTAACAAAGGCGTTACATCTGATACTTTCAACATTATACCGAAGCGCCCAGGTAGCATCACTTGCGGTATAGGATAGATGCACACGTTGAAAACCTGATTTTACCCACCTCGCGCGAATAGATTTTAGTTATGTACATTTTTTTTTTTTAATAAAACAAATTTTAACAATATAAATCTCAAACCTGCTTAACAAGGATTGTAAGGATTGCATGTACAAAAGCCATCTCAGCCATATACGTGTATTCGTGGTCTTTGTAGACTTTGCGACTATTATCAGTCTCTTGTAAACGTTTCCAACGAGGGTAATGCCACATAACTAACGAAAACTGAACCAGAAAATACGTCTGAAAAATTCAATGATTTGTCTGAAAAATTTTACCAAAACAGGCAAAATAAAACAACTTTAAATATCATTATAACATTTGAATCGTATCGATAACGTCTCTATAATACTATAAAGACATAAAAAATTAATAATTTAAGTGATCACGGTTGCCGAAAAGTCGATAGTATATAGTTTTTGACAACAACAAAGTCGCGTAGTATGTATAATCCGAAAAATATTAGTTTCACTAAAAGTAAAGTTTTGACAGACGCATTTCATAACGCTTGAATCTAGGACTCTTGTCTGGGTTACTATTACCTAAAAGTATACATTCATGTAAACGTTATTTTCTCGATTAATTTAGGTCAACAATTCAAAACTGAATCACAAAGTATTGGGGTTGGTTGGGCCAAAAAGCACGAAGAGGTATTGTTACTTTACATTACCCAAAGGATTGCAAGTGCAGCGGTTAATACATTGATAACACTTCTTATTCCAATTGCTATAATCGATGACAGTTCATAGCGTTGAGGTCTGTGAGAATTAAAAAAATCTATTACTTCAACTCCCAAACAATTTCATATCTACATACATTGTCTTTGTGGTCTAGTAAAGTAATAGCAGTAATGACCGATGTTAAAAACAAATTAGAATAGATTTAGGCGTTACATGGTTATATTTACCTGAGTAAATTATTAATATGTTTCTTAGGTACTTCCCAAATCCAAGATAGATATCTTTCCCTATACCTCAAAGGTATTAAAAAAAATATTCCTGGAACAATTAACAGATATTTCACTTTTGTTAAACTTTTTTGTAACAGAAAATAACATATTAATCAGTTTACCCCAAATCACGACATATGTTCCGTGGTCTAAAGTCAATTTCTTGTCAATAATTTGTCTAAATTGTGCTCTTCTGCAATACGCCGCTATGGGCAGTAGTGGACAAAGAGTCTGGTTTCGGCACTCAGAGCAAATAGTCCAACCTTTGAGGTCGCATGTAAACTTTGGTGCCCTTAAATGTAACATTAAAAAGTAATAAGTGTAATATTAAAGAGTTCATTATCTAAGAGTCAATAAATACAATTATATGTATACTTTTTTTATTAAAAGAGTTTAAGATACCTTAAAATACTTTTTCTGTTAAATAAACGGTAAAAGAACATGTGTGACAAAAATACTTATGAAAACAATATGTCCTTAATATTAAAAAAAGATGATTAGCTAATTTGGTTATGAATGAAATGACTTATTATCTAGCTGTTAATTTTTATCGTCTACGAAATCAAGTAAATTGATTTATACATTCTTTAAAAATAAATGGATAAAGCAAGATAAAGGAGATATACATTTTTCGTTTATAACAATTAACTAAACTTTTCTAATATGTGTTTTTATAGTTTTTTATATCACAATATTGTATTGCGCCCAAGAAACGCATATAAAAAGTATCGTAAAGGTAATATAACATTTGCTAAATCACAATATTTTAATGAAGGCGAAGCGGGTACAGTACAGTACACAATGTGTACAGTACACATGATACGTCAACATTTGCTTGAAACGATTTGCCCTTAAGGAGATTCTTAATTTTAAAGTAATAAAAACAATAAGAAAAAAGGACTGAACCCATGTATATACAGGGTGACTGGTACTATCGATACTTAAGGACGTGATATTTGATGATCATATACGAGTATGACAAAATAAAAATTATTATACCATAAATATTAATAAACTTCTAAGTAAAGTTAACCAAAAGTTATGTAATTAATTACGCATCGTGTGTTCACACGTGTATACCTAATCTGTAGGGTGAACACCCTACAGATTAGGTATACACACACACGCACACGCGCGTGCGGCGGCGTTGTGTTGTATCAGCACGCCGCCGCACGCGTCCACACTTGAAACACTTGGAACGAGTCCACACTTTATTTATTTATACGGAAATTTGGTCAAAAATTAAGTACCTATTTTTTTTACATAATTCGAATGAGAATCATGTACCGAGTATTCTCCTTAAATATTGATAGTAATTCACCAGTCACCCTGTATAATAAAACGGTTCATACTTGAATATTTCCTTTTAGGTTTGGGGTTGGATAGTATTGGAAAACTGTATTTAAAAGGGCTGAACCATTTTCTAAAATCAAATGTAATAATTTTTTTTTAAATAATGTATTCTATGTATGTATTTACCGTTTAATTATTTTTTTGTACTATCATAAAAATAAAGTATACATGTCAGAAGTGAAACTTCTTTGCACTGAGCGTGATACGACGTTCGCTCTGTCTCTTTTTTTCTCTCCATCTTTCTCACTTGATTGCTCCCTACTCCCACTCTACGGCTAGTTGCTTCATGCTAGGCTCGCCCTGTCTTACTCTCCTCTCAATCGATCTCGATCACTCTCTATCTCCTTTTCGACACTTCCGTTGCATACCGGCGTGACGTTACATTTGTAAAAATTTTACCCTCATGCGCCTAAAGAGGTTTGACTTCAAAAATAAGACGGTACCAATGGTATGACATTGTTTCCCCTTCATAGGTTTGTTTTAATCATAACATGTATACAAAAACGAATACTAACAAAAAGGTTTCATAAGTTTCTCGATTCGAATACAGTCGAAACGTGGTCACAAAACTAAATAGGACAAGAACAATAAGCATAATGTTGAAATATTCATAAAACGCCATGAATTGAGCAACCTAAAAAAATTCAAGTTGGAATAAAAAACAAAATTAATTAAAGGTCTGTCTTTTTGTATTATAATTTTTAAAAGCAATGTCTATTAGCATTATAATTATCTTACCCTGTTTCCAAAATACTCGCGTATCATATGAATTGGTTGCATCTTCCATATATTTATTAGTCCTAACCATTTGTAAAACAAAATCTAGAAAAAAGGAATATACAGTTAGAAACAAGTGACGCAAGTTATGTGTAGGCAGAAATCCGACGAATACCAGAAATCACTAAACCAATATGACATGAAATAAATCTTATATGTAATTGACAATTAATGTACGAAAGCCGTTATAAGCTTATGTAATGTAAGATAATCTATATATCTATATATATATAAAAGAAAGTCGTGTTAGTTACTCCACTTTTAACTCAAGAACGGCTGAACCGATTTAGCTGAAAATTAGCAGGAAGGTAGTTTAGAGCTAGGAAATTGCAATAGGATACATTTCATCCCATTCGACAGCATTCCCGTGGGACTTGACATGAAACGTCAGTCACTATAAAACGTGGTATAACGAAACACAATTGACAGCTATGCAATTGACGTATAATGACAGATATGTAATAACGTAATAAAGACAATTAGATATTTGTATGAGATCTACTATAAAAAAATAAGTCCGGTTTTCCATCCTGACGCCTATAACTTCAGAACGAACGAACCAATTTCCACGGTTTTGCATTCGTTGTAAAATATGTACTAAATCAATATTTTATCATTGTTCTCTGCTCAGTTAATTTCATGTGACAAACCGGTATTGTGTTTGTAGTTTGAACTCTTATAACCATTCAGTATTTGCGGGATAGATTTAGAAAATCATTGCTTTTCACATGGGCAGTTATATTTTGTGTGTTCAGGAGTTTGGAAACGATCCGCTTTATTTGTGTTAAAGTTAGACCAAAAAATAAAAAATGTGGTTTACAAAGGACCACTTCAATGAAACGGATAATTTGCGGACACGTACAACGCTTCGATTTGGTATCTACTTTGGATTCACTTTCATTTACTTAGAGAAGTTCGCCGGGTTTACTAGTTGTAAAATAAAACCTAATGCTTATTATTGATATAAGACCTAATAAATGAAAATAAAATAGTATAATATTTTTTAAAGGTGAGAAAGAAAGTGGTAGCAGTGGTCAAGTAACTTTATCTCGAACATGGGCTGGTTTGACCGGGAAAGTAGCACTCCTCACAGAAGATTGGCTTAAAGTAGGTTTGAATGGCCGTTTTCTTCCAAAAGGCGAAAGGCGGTCAGCCGTGCCTGTCAATGATGGTAGTCATTCATCGTTAGCTAAAGCCATTTATAGTTTCCCATATGTGTTCGAAATTCCAGGTTTTTATTATTATTTTTTCGTAAAAACTTATATCGACCAACGTAACGCAATTCTAAAATATCACTAACTCGATGAACCAGATGACCAGGTGAACTTCGTACCGCCCTATGATCAAGAAATATCTGTTACCTTTTTATCTCAATAAACTTTATTTCTTAATTATGTACAGCTGACTCGACAGACAATGGTCTGTTTTCTTAGTATATATTATATGTTTAAATTAATATTATAATAGTATAAGTCTTTAGTATTTCGATAATCTGTCTAGATCTCAACTAATAATATTCAAAAACAGTTTTAAAATGTAACATTTATATTTTTATGTATTTCAAATCAAGGCCTGCATTTATTAAACTGTAGCTATGTCGCTAGAATATAATATTTAATTTACACAAAATAAATTAATAAACGCACTCGTAAAAGTTAATCATTTGTCATTATTTCTGAACTCATGTCAACCATTACATATAGTAAAGTTCGTTGTGATGATAGCTTACGGTTTCTTGGTAAATCAACATCCCCAAAGACGATGTCATCAAGGTCAATAAATATTACTCACTAACGAACTAACTCGAAATAGGTTCGTCGTGGATTTGTATTCAATAGAAGTGGGAGCGAGAGGTATAACAGTTAAATCTTTCTATAACCTACTAAAAGACTTGGGTCTGTCCAGAACTCACATTAGTTCATTCTTGGAACGTACGTCGAAGGCAGCCCTAGTAGGTTCTTTTCAAATTTGGTTAGGTAGAGAGACGAGCTTGGACAGTGGAGGTGATCATTTAAAGCGCGTTACATAGGGACCTCTTAAATCTACATGTGGGTGACAAGTCCCAGGCACTGTTGATGCTCCTGCAACGCCATGGACCCGGTACCCTCACGATGAATCTATTGGATCTTAAAAGGTTTCGTCTCTGACAGGATGAACAACAAATGTTTTTACAAATGACAGATACAACCCGGGTTCGATCCTTTACATTTTTCGTCGAGTTTTCTTTAAGTTTTCTTTTTTAAGATTTATACTGCTATTCGGGGCGGAGACAAATCCAACGAACCAAAAGCCGTGAAAATGGGTTGAGCCGATCTCTCTTTCTCTTTAAGGGTCTTAACAAGTCATTAATATTAATAATGCTTGCTCTAGATTTCCTTGAAATGGTTGTTGGACTGTTAACCTTGCCAAAACTCTAATGTCAATTCCCAATCCTGATTATTTGTAGTTATAGTAACAGTATATGTTTTGTTGTTTCCAATTATTTCCTTGTATTTATTAATAAGGTAAATTAAAATTTCATTTTCATGTGACAAAAACTTTTGCCTCCGGCTTTTCTTTGAGATTGCAATTTAGACACTCTTAATTTAATTAAAACTTGAACACAATGTAGACCAATAAATTAGCCTTACGATTTTTACAGTTTACATCTAGTAAATTAAAAGAAAGCTTTTTGTGTGCCATATCAAAGATAAATAAAATTTGGTGGTATTAACTAACAAGTGATTTGTCACCTCAATAATGTGATTAATAATTAAGTGGTAAGTCAAGGGATATATATGATCAATGGATAAAGTGGTAGATAGCAGCAAACATGTCGTGTTAAATGTGATAACTTTAATTTGGTTGTCTGATAACAAAAACGAATGATTTTGTAGTCTTTCATTTAAGTCTAAAGTCTAAGATCCACTTTCAAGAAACTCTGTTTGTTGAATCTAAACGAGACTTTTACCAATAGACATGCAAGAATTTAAATATATATCAAAATATTTTCGTTCCACGATGAAAAGTTAACGAGGCATTATTAAATGTAACGTTAAGACCCAGTTTCACCAATCAATGTTAAATAAGTAACATCTTGTTAAGGCGTTTGATGCTCTGTTAGATGCATCGAGCGTCCCACCACGCACAAATGTCCTTTTAAATGTCTTAACAAGCCACTAACATTAATTCCTGCTCTGGAACTCCGTCTAATGGCTAACAGAATGTTAATGCAATCTCAAAGCTCAATTGTCCAATCACAGCCCTGATTTCTCGTAACCATAGTAACGTCATCTGTTTCGTCAGTTTCGACTATTTCCTTGTACTTAATAAAGTAAATTAAAATTTTATTTCCTATGATGATTTTGCCTCCAGCTTTTCTATGACATTGCAAATTAAATTTTCTTTTTATCTCTTATAATTTGAACATAATTTATGCCTATATTTATAACACAATTTATTGACAACACGATTTTGACAAGTTACACTTAGTAAATTGAAAAGAAAGCTTTTTGTGTGCCAAATGTATGCAACCAACGATATATAAAATTTGGAAGCATTAGCTAGCAAGTGACGTATCGAGGAATATATACTCGTACGATCAAAGTATAAAGTGGTGCATCGTGGCAAACGTGCCGTATTAAACGCTATAGTTTCCATTTGGTCATCTTATAACAAGAACGAATAATTTGGTAGTCGGTCATTTAACATTACGTTTGATAATGCGTTGTTAATTTGTCATCGTGGGACGTAAATATTTTAACAGACATTTATAATTTTGAAGGTTTGTTAGAAAATGCCTTGTTTAGTCCCAGTTTTACCAATCAATGTTTGTTTAATCTAATCACAGCATTTATAATATTCCTAGTACCTACTATGTAGTACATTACCTGTCGTGAATTTGTTGTCAGCAACTTAGATTTTTGTTTTATAAAATATGGACCATCGTGAAGAGCAAATGCGTCCAGAAATATGTTTTTTTGTATTAATCTGAAATGAGAATGAGTTTATACTGTCGGGTTCTCAAGAACTTTACTTACTCAAGTATATAATAATAGTCGAAGATCACGATATAAAACGACCTTCACCGAGATGCATATTTGATGATACATATTTGATATTCAATTTAACATGTCAATAATGACATAAATTGCATATGGGTTGCCTAATAATTTTCACTCCAGGATAGGACTAATAAATAATAAAAAAAATTGTAATATTTCTCCGGTTTGATTATTAAACAATTTCCATACCAATCGAAAGTAATAAGCCCATAAAATATGCAAACGTAAGGTTGCCTTTTCTTTTCCAGTCACAACTCTCGGATTGCCAGGTATATAAAGGTAAATTGATAGTAACATTTTACCCCGGTCTAATTATTATTTTATAATGAAAACGTTTGTAAAGGGTTGCCTGCGAAAAATCAGTCTTTAGGACTTACATTTGTTGAATTTTGAAAAGTGAAATATTGCAACGAGAAAATATTTGGGACAGATGGTGAAAGTGATGGTAACATTTATTAGATAACCCATATGCAATATATTATGTAATTTAAATGAAACTAATATTTTTCGGATTTTACTTCGCGTTTTATTTTTGATTAGAACTACATACTCCCGACGTTTCGGCTACTTTTCAGCAACCGTGATCACGGGCAGACGAGATGTGAGTGTCTGTCAGTTGGTCTGGTCATTTTATCTCCTACCGCCACCGATTTCTTAATTGTCTTGCGTACCGCTCTGGATGCCGGCAAAATACGCTCACGGTGTCTCGAGGTCCTGCGGTGTGGTCACCGACATGGGATTTTATATTTTTAAGAAGAGGATCCCAGGTGTTTGATAGGTTGCTGAAAAGTAGCCGAAACGTCGGGAGTATGTAGTTCTAATCAAAAATAAAACGCGAAGTAAAATCCGAAAAATATTAGTTTCATTTAAATGAGTACTCGCGAAAATCTTAGATCTCATTAATATATGTAATTATTGACATGTTAAATTGAATATGTAATACGTTGCACCAAAAATGCATCTTGGTAAAGGTCGTTCTATATAGAGATCCTTTACTATAACTAATAACCTAAGAAACTAATCAAACCATAATACGTGACAATCTCCAAAACTAATTATGGTACATACTTATTTATTCCGTAATGATTCATATTATCACTGAATGGCAGCTCAAGTAATAATTTATACACAATGGTGCTGCGTTCCAATGTCGAGTAATTGTCCGGTCCGGGATAGTGAGTTCTGACATAAATAATACCATTAACTTAGACTTTTATTATGTAGAAAGAGTTATAATTAGTAAAATAATATATTTTGTACGTAAAAAATACTTTGCAAAGTTTGAGTCCACACAAATAGTTAACTGTACAATAAAGATACCAGAAAGACACAATTACAAGGAAGAGTTTATGCAATAATTTATCCGGTGAATATATAAAAATAAAAATCTCCCATAGTTTTATAGACTTCTATAAGGGTAAGTAAGGGTACTTACCCTCACCCTTTTCTAATAAATAATTAAAATCTTCATATTACCTTAATAAAGAGTAATTTTGTATAAAACAATAATTACCGATAGTATCTGCAACCTTAATAATTTCAGTGGCATGATTTTCCTCTGTCTCGTATCCTTTGACCTGACATCACTATAGGCTTAGCGCCTGTTTAGTCTTTTTACTTACCTGACTATTTTAAGGAGCTCCCTTTCATGTTTCGTGCCAAAAATGTTGAATATAGGATTAATAAACTCTAAATGACTATCCTTAAAAAATCGTTTTTCGTTGAAATACAATCCGTATTGTTCAATAATCTCATCGGGAGCATGAAGTTTAACGAAAACTAAATTTCGATGTTCGGCCATCTAAAACAACATTTGATTTGATTATGTGATTAAATATTGGAAACAACACAACAATATACTTATTTTTTCACCTTTCCTGATTCCACTTCAGCTTCTAAACCGACTTGAAGAGCATTCATTAAAAAATTTAAACGCATCTGTTTCTTCTCATCCTTACTATCATCTTTAAAGACTAAAACTATATCAATCCTTTTGTTGCTGTCATTTAAATATCCAGTTAAGGATGAAAAATTGTCTTTTCCCACTTTTGCAATTGTGGTTTCTTCTGACTAGAAGAAAATATTCGCAACATCAATTAATTGATATAAATTTATACATACCTATCTTTTATACTTCATATATTCAAAAATGTTTTGCGGTTGGGTCACACATCTTGCGATAGCTTTCACCAGAATCATTATTATACATGTTAAACCCACATATTTTCTGAATTTTATCATTTCGGAACGCACCTAATTTGAATTGCATAATATAGGAATGGGATAAACAATTAGTGATGAATTATTTTTTACCCATCCTTGAAATACATATGAGCCTGCATGAAGCCTGGCCAAGGTAAACAGAATCCCTCTTAAAATCGCTTATCCCATAAATGCATTAATGTTATCGCCAACCCTACATGGTTTAAAATTCTTGTTCTTTCGTAATAACACAAAAATAAAAAATAAAAAAATTATCGAAAACTAGAGACTTTTTGTTTTTACGTATCGTCATGTTGACAGAAGGTTTTAATTTTATTCGTATCCATAATATATACATACTGAAACAAAACCATGGTGCTCGGATATACTACATGTTATTATTATGTTTTACCCAATATTTCGGCAACTTTACAGCACAATTTTACATAAGAAGACACTATGAAAGTGAAATCATAGATTTCGTTATACTTAGCTATGACTACATGAACATAACTAGTGAAAGGTAATTTTTAAAATAAATATAAAAACCAGTTTTTTGAGATCCCCTTGCTCCATTTTTTCATAAAACCAATATTTCAAAATTTTATAGTTAATATAGAAGCATATAAAGAAAATTCAACAAACTTGACATTAAATAGTAGTGTCAGTGTAAATTAGAACATATACTTTTTTTTTTAAGTATTAGATGTTTATATTTATCTTGGAGAATATATCTTTATAGATCTGTATATATAAAAGAAAGTCGTGTTAGTTACTCCACTTATAACTTAAGAACGGCCGAACCGATTTAGCTGAAAATTGCCAGAGAGGTAGTTTAGAGCCACGGGAAGGACATGGGATACTTTTTATCCCGTTCGACAACATTCCCGTGTGACTTGACATGAAACGTTAGTCACTATAAAACGTGGTATAACAAAAAAGAATCAGACTTGGAATAACAAATCGCAAATGACAGCTATGTAATTGACGTATAATGACAATTATGTAATGACGTATGGAAGACAATTTGATATTTGTAAGAAATCTTCTACTATATAAAAATAAGTCCGGTTTTCCTTCGAATTCGTTGACAGAAAAGCGGGATAATCTTTTTTCACATACAGCGCTATCTCTGATTCATAACATGTAGATGGTGCCGGTGCATGATACATTGTTTCACAGCTACTCATTGGTCTCTGCTCAGTTAATTTCATGTGACAAACCGGTATCTTGTTTGTAGTTTAAACTCTTAAAACCATTTAGTATTTGCGGAATAGATTTAGAAAATCATTGCTTTTCACATGGGCAGTTATATTTTGCGAGTTCACGAGTTGGGAAACCATCCGCTTTATTTGTGTTAACGTTAGACCAAAAAACAAAAAATGTGGTTTACAAAGGAGCACTTCAATGAAACGGATAATTTGCGTACACGTATAACGCTTCGATTCGGTATCTACTTTGGATTCACTTTCATTTACTTAGAGAAGTTCAACTAAATTCTTCACACTTCATTTTTGTAATCGAAATGAATTCATTACTGTTGTGAAAGGAAATAAAAATTTTCCTTTTTAAATATAAAAAAAAATCCTCATCTTTTAAACACCGAACGAAATATTGCATAAAACAAAGCCTTCTGGTGGCGAAATGGAGTTCGCCGGGTTTACTAGTTTCATAATAAATGTATATAAATAGTAACAAACAATACAATGAGTGCATTTAATAAAACAATTTCATTTTTAGATCTCAATCTCTAAATCTAACCATGAAAGCAGAACTTTTTCAAAAAAATACTTTGATATCTCTATGTAAATAGGTGTGTGTTTCAGGATGTTTGTAAAAGGTAGTCTTTAGACACAGAACAAACAGCAGATAGAAAGGTTAGAAAAGTCAAATTTTATTTTAATAAATAGTTATTTATTTTAATAACTGGTAATTTCAATATATCTTTTTTATTTTTTGAATCTCGCCCAGAGCACTGATGTTGCTAATACCGGCACTGGGTAGGGGCCAGCCTCCTAAACCAGGAAAAACTAAGTTCGGGTCTCTTAAGGACCTCATGTGAATGAAACACGCTCAACGCCTCAAAATGGACTGAGACGAAAGCAGGACAGAAAGTCACTGCGTACATTTCAAGAGAGGAAAGGGTGGGAAATAGGAAAAGGCGACCGGCGCTTTCACTAATCACTAATCGTGTGACGCAGCCATAAAGGACTACTTCACGCCTACCTTGTGTGAGAGGCTGTTCCCTCCCCGGTCGAGCCAACCCATGTTCAAGCTACACTCGAATAACCACAGCTAGGCTCTACAACTAGTGAATTTTTCGAAGAGATACATATGAGTAATATTATTACAATTGTTAATGCATCATAATCTGAAGTTATGTTGTGCGTTAATAAGGGTTGCTTATTAAAAATCACTTTCAAAGATGAGGCCACCATAGTGATCGATTTCAGAGCACCTTTTGAAAGAAATTTATTGCTGGCGAAAGTAACCTTGTATGATATAGGAGTTTAGAAAATATTGTATAACATTTAACATTTCCTTTTTTCTCTATTACTAAAAACCAATTTTTATAGTTTCAATCATGATGTAAATAAAACCATGAAGTAACCTTTTAACTTTGCATTTATTTAATAGACTTCTTTCTTTTTTATCTAACAAGCAGAAAAGTAGAGAATGTGTATTAAAATCAATAATCAGTTATTTATTAATTGAGTGCTTCAATCCGTTGAATGACTTCTTTAATATTTGAATTAATTGATCCAATTGCTACTTGCGCTACGTTGCGAATTGTGAGTTCAACAAACTTCATGATAACGTTGTCGAAGATCCTCATAAAGACACTGATGAATGGATTCAGCAACCAATCAAACAATATGTTGCCGCTCAAGCGAACACGTAGACGCCTGAAATTAAAAGTTAAAACATGAACTGAAGTTTATACATTTGCCAAAGAATTTTACTAATACTAAAAGAAATCATAGTTATTTATTCCTTTTCTGTTATATGTATATATATAACAGGAATACCATATATGACCATCTATCTATGGCAAAAAATAACGCAAAATATCACCAAAAGTAAAATACTAAAAAGGAACAAATTGTAATTTTTATCCAAACGTCGTCACAATCACCCATAAAATTTAGGGATAACAATACTTTCTGTTTCTATTATATTTATCAGCGATTTTTCATAGTTCTTTTAAAATTTATATTTGTATTAACTGTGTAAATTCACATTACTGGAGAAACTAACATTAGGCGGTAATCCAAAGTGTTAAAAAGATGTTATTTTATTGATACTCGAAAGTTCATAAAGTATAAATTATGTATATAAACAAAATACATGTAAAAAACATCGACATTACTCGTATGCAATTAAAGCAGGCAAGTGAAGAAAGTAATTACCCTAGAAAATAAATAGCACTACTTCTTACTAACAAGATCGCGTACTGTCTTCACTGGATTATTATCAATAAATTAATATTATTTATTTTTAATTTCGGCTTCGTCTAATTAATGTACCTACTTTAAAAATAATTTATCATTTTTTACACTTACCCAACATTACTAATAGAAAACTGTTGTAAATGAATTTCATCGTTATTGAAATCTATCAAAACATCAGCGATAGCGATAAAATTATTCAGAGATCCCAAAATTTGTCCAGTGGGTCCAAGGTTCATGACCTTTATAAGATAATTGTAGGACAGCTGAAAAGTATCAATAGATTTTTGATTGACATTAATACCGTCCGTTTCTGTTTGATATCAAATCTTTAAGAATAATCAAATAAAGCAAATGATATTTTGTTCTCATTTATTTATGTAATCGGTCGTTTTTTTATCAAGATCATTCTAGAATTATACGCTACCATATTACCGACTATGAATAACCAGTATAATTATTCAAAGTACAACATTGTATATAAGTATTATATTCCTACCTTTATATCAGAGAAATCTAATTGGACACGAACACGTAAGGTTTTACCAATATAACTGACTATCTGGTCACCAGAACGTGATACATTTGTTATGCCTGTGAATTGCCCCTCTGTAAGTTTAAACCAGGCGCTGTAGGTTACTATGATTGGTTTCTAAAACAAAAAGAAATTTTAAGAATAAAATCATTTCTATTCTATACATTTTTTATATCACCGATTATTTCTTTAACATCATATGTTTAACTATTTTTTATCAATTTTATATACAAATTTTCAAATATTACATTTAATTACGATTGCGACCAAATATTATTAACTAAGTGATACATATTTTTTAAGTCTTAAATCATTGTTATACTCACTACTTCAAAGCCTTCCTCAATATCTGGTAATTTCAAGGGGTCGAGACCGTTTTCTTGTAAAAATGGTCCCAACATTCCAATTGTTTTATCGACATAATCATTGACATTTGCAGTAAGAACTTGTCTGGATTGGAAATTTTCATATCTGTAATTTTGAATCGATATTTATAAGAGTTTTATCACATAAAATGCTTTTACTATTTCGTAAATTCAAACCTATAGATATTAAAAATTGTGACATTAGTAAATCACTTTAAATATGTAGTTCTCTTTACATTTATTAATTTATCATAAGATTTTTTATAAGAGAAACCGATTATGCACTACCTTAAAAACAATGGGATTATTTTAAAAAATCTGAAATATACATATTTATATTCAAATATTCTTTTTAAATACGTAATTATAATTTCTCATTCTCACCATGCATGGAAGTGAAGAGGATAATTATACCAAATTAATAGTCAGTTCGTTAAAATAAAGAAAAAAATAAAAGAAGTGAACAATAATCATGAAAATATATATAGGCGAATTTCTAAATTAACATTTATATGTTTAAGGCACTAACGTCCTAGAGCGAGCAAACAAAAGGAGGGAAGTGAAATTTATATAAAAGAGGAAAAAAGCAATAATATATATTTAGTTAAATATGCTAGATAAAGACATACTCCAGGCCTTCGATCGACTTGCCTCGTATCAAATTTGCCTCGGCTCCAACAACCAAGCAAATGAAAAAAATGGCGATATAGCTTCGAGCCCGCATTTTAGTAGCACACGAAAACAATTACTAAATATTTAATTATTTACCTGACTTTATAAAATACTCCAATTGTCTGATAATTGATAAAAACTAATCGGACACATGTGATACAAATCTTAATTATGATTTCAAAAGAGATAGCATCTTGCATATAGTGATAATACATTTCAAAACATTTGAATAAATACAAAAATTACAAGATTATGTAATATTTATGCATCAAACTTAGTTGTTTCTGAAAAAAAAATAGTTTTCTATTATTAATAAGTCTTTAAAGTCATTGATATCATTTTTAAATTAATAAAATTAAGTAGACTTCGGGAAAAATTTCTTAAAACAATATAAAACAATATTTTATGAACACACACATCTAGTCTTTAACAATCAGTTCTTTGTTAATGTTGGAAGTTAACAACTTTGGCAATAATAATTAATTATTATTATTATGTAAAGTTATACTTGGTTTTACTTTTAGAAAGTTTTCTGAGCTTAACGATTTAATTGTAAATTTTCAGAGTTAAAAGGAATTTTCTAGAATTCTTGTATCTGTTTAAGCAAGACAATTACAAACTTTACATATCTATTTTAATCTGGTATCATAGATTCCAAACGGTGATAAATATATAATCATTTTCATTGCTCTTCACTGTTTACTTCTAGTTGATTTACGAGTATATATAAAAATCGGATTTCTAAGTTTGAAACGCATAATGAGATTGCCCTTTTTATTAATCTCTTTGTTTTAGTTTATAAGTCATTATTTGTCTATTTGTAGTAAACTCATTAAATAAAAAGTGGTAAAATTGGAATATTATGGTTCTGGATATAAAGTGATTTATTTATTTATTTATTTAATAATAGTGAGCTCATTATTTTTATCCTTATAAAAATATTATCAAATTTTGTTCTTTTAATTATTATGATCTCAATATTATCAGCCTTTATATGCAGATACAATGTATATGCTTATTTTTTATACTATATGGTATTACACTAAAAGAGTTTACAATAACAGTAGAGAAAAAACAACACAAATTAGGTATATGCAAAGACAGTCACGTTGCTGTGAGTAGTAAAAAATAAATAAATAAATACATTAAATGTAATAACAAAAATACATACTTAATGGTCAAGAAAAAAATCACGAAGAATTAGTATATAAACCAATGTATTATTATATTAGCAACTCTGGGACACAGACCATAAATATCTGTTAAAGATTAACATTTTTTTGTTCGGTCTGTGTGAAAAAAATGAGTAAAAAATGTTCCTGTTGATTATGAAATTAAGACGACAATTATTGATACTCCAGAGATTATAGGTTTGATGATATTTTATTAGTGTTTCTAACTCTAATAATAGAGTCTAATTGATATGAAATTATAATCATTCTATAAATAAAAAATAACTGCAACGATTTTAAGCTTTGAAAAATTGAATCAGCTTAAAAGTTAAAATCAGTTAAAAGTATGTCTACCAGCCAACAAGTTAAATTTGTCTAGAATAAAACTGCACAAAACAAGTAACTTCTAATTTTTTTACTAGACGGGCAATTGAAGTAAGCACCATTTAAACCATTTTATAACTGACAGGCCAGAGCTCGGATGTCATTCCACCTATTGGTAGATTGTAACAACGTTGTATATGGTCAACTATGTATAACTCAATAACAGCCTATTTTGCCATCCCTTTGTTTTAGACCAGTGATTCCCAAAGTGTTCCAGGTGGACCCCCAGGGGTCCACGGGAGACTTGCTGGGGGTCTACGTAGGCGTGAACAAAAAATGGGGGTCCACGAAAATTTATCTACTTTTGATAGTAAAGAGCAAAAATGTAGGCATAGTTTTTATAAGGGCCTACCTACATTGTTTTAAGTACCTAACTAAGCAGATAATATTTTAATAAGGCAAGCGACTGTTACTTGTCCAAACTTGCGTATTCGATATTACGTACAATTTCGTGTACAGACTTGCAAAGCGCTATCCGCCCGACAATGCTTAATGCTTGTTCAGACATGAACTTGATCACCACTATAAATACTTGATGCCAAAGGCAAACACTCATTCATTTGTTTCCAAAATTACTAAAATTTTATTTTACCTATCGGAATATAGAGACAGAACTCAGAAGTGACACAATTTTTATTTTTTGGCGAATTTAAGAATGTGGTAGAAATGTAGCAGCAGGGGGTCCACCGAAACCAATAAAATTTTGAAAGTGGTCCACGAGAAAAATAAGTTTGGGGACTACAGGTCTAGATTCACAATTTTGTCCGCTGGACAATGTTTTTTTCATTAATTTTTAATTTATTAGTAGTTGTTTTATTACAAACGTTTTTTTTCGACATAAGATTTGACAACTAATTAATGAAACGGGGCTCTCTGATTGGTCGGTAAACTGTTCATATAATTTTTTCGCCATTTTATTATTATTAAATATTGTCATTTGTCTTTCTAACTTCTAAGAACACGTGAATAGGTTTTAATTAGTTTATTAGTAAACAGTGGATTAATTTATTAACAGTTGATTAATTTATTAACAGTGGATTTACTAACAGTTGATTAATTTATTAACAGTTGATTAATTTATTAACAGTTGATTAATTTATTAACAGTTGATTAATTTATTAACAGAGGATTAATTTATTAACAGTTGATTAATTTATTAACAGTTGATTAATTTATTAACAGTGGATTAATTTATTAACAGTGGATTAATTTATTAACAGTTGATTAATTTATTAACAGTGGATTTACTAACAGTAGATTAATTTTTTAACAGTGGATTAATTTATTAACAGTTGATTAATTAATTAACAGGTGATTAATTTATTAACAGTGGATTAATTTATTAACAGTGGATAAATTTATTAACAGTGGATTTACTAACAGTTGATTAATTTATTAACAGTGGATTAATTTATTAACAGTGGATTAATTTATTAACAGTTGATTAGTTTATTAACAGTGGATTTACTAACAGTTGATTAATTTATTAACAGCTGATTTACTAACAGTTGATTAATTTATTAACAGTTGATTAATTTATTAACAGTTGATTAATTTATTAACAGTTGATTAATTTATTAACAGTTGATTAATTTATTAACAGTTGATTAATTTATTAACAGTGGATTAATTTATTAACAGTTGATTAATTTATTAACAGTTGATTAATTTATTAACAGTTGATTAATTTATTAACAGAGGATTAATTTATTAACAGTTGATTAATTTATTAACAGTGGATTTACTAACAGTGGATTAATTTATTAACAGTTGATTAATTTATTAACAGCTGATTTACTAACAGTTGATTAATTTATTAACAGTTGATTAATTTATTAACAGTGGATTAATTTATTAACAGTTGATTAATTTATTAACAGTTGATTAATTTATTAACAGTGGATTTACTAACAGTTGATTAATTTATTAACAGTGGATTAATTTATTAACAGTTGATTAATTTATTAACAGTTGATTAATTTATTAACAGTTGATTAATTTATTAACAGAGGATTAATTTATTAACAGTTGATTAATTTATTAACAGTGGATTTACTAACAGTGGATTAATTTATTAACAGTTGATTTACTAACAGTTGATTAATTTATTAACAGTGGATTAATTTACTAACAGTGGATTTACTAACAGTTGATTAATTTATTAACAGTGGATTAATTTATTAACAGTGGATTAATTTATTAACAGTTGATTAGTTTATTAACAGTGGATTTACTAACAGTTGATTAATTTACTAACAGTTGATTAATTTATTCACAGTTGATTAATTTATTAACAGAGGATTAATTTATTAACAGTTGATTAATTTATTAACAGTTGATTAATTTGTTAACAGTTGATTAATTTATTAACAGTGGATTAATTTATTAACAGTTGATTAATTTATTAACAGTGGATTTACTAACAGTGGATTAATTTATTAACAGTTGATTAATATATTAACAGTGGATTTACTAACAGTTGATTAATTTATTAACGATAATAATGAAAGTTAGAGAATGATAAATAATCATTGGGACTCGACACTAGAAGAGGCTCGACATAGTAGATCAGCAGCTAAGGTGAGAGATCTTTTGCCATTCTCATAGCGACGTGTGGTCTCTCAAATCCTCAGATATTATGGGAAAAGTCCCAAAATGATATGTCTGACTATATTTTGAACAGACTACAACAAAATAATCCCAATATCACATATTATTATTTAGTTTATAACGAGGCGCTAACTAAGATTCAAGACCAAGTGATGGCTATATCTGGGAAGACATTATCAGATTTTGGAATGAACCGGCGACAAGGAATCGGAGAAGTCAATAGTGATTTAATAAGAGAACTGGACTACAATGTCTCTTCTTTACAGCAACAAATATCAGAGTCTGTTCCTCGATTGAACACGGAACAAAAATTAGTTTATGATATTGTTGTGCAAAGAATCGATAATGGTGAGGGTGGATTGTTTTTCTTAGATGCGCCAGGAGGCACTAGGAAAACACTCATTCATTTGTTTCCAAAATTTCTAAAATTTTATTTTACCTATCGGAATATAGAGACAGAACTCAGAAGTGACACAATTTTTATTTTTTGGCGAATTTAAGAATGTGGTAGAAATGTAGCAGCAGGGGGTCCACCGAAACCAGTAAAATTTTGAAAGTGGTCCACGAGAAAAATAAGTTTGGGGACTACTGTTTTAGACCATCCTCGGAACAGAACGAAATTTTACGGTGCCACAGCAAAATATCAGCTTATCTCGACCTGAGTTTTGTTTATTGTTTGAGTGTATTTAAGACTAGAACAACATAGTGCCTTAACCGCTTACTATATACATTTTAAAATATCGACACATGATAACAGTCAAGCACTATTAAATAAACATTTTTCAAATTGTTCCATATGTCTGCCATTTTATACATGGCACTAGAATTACGTAACTATCGTAATTATAAAAATAATGATATTTAATTGAATGTGGAAAACGTAATTAAGAAGCCAGACTAGTAACGTGAAACATGTTTCATATATAAAAATCATATCGTTATTAATTTTAATATTATTTAATTATAAATAAATACACATTTCTTGTCAATCATTAAAAGTGAAAGATTTAGTGGACAGCTACAAAGTATAAATTTATTGTAAGTAGGTATGTACCTACTTGTTCTTTTATTTACCTAAAGGCGGAAATCAATGATCTGTAGAAAAAAATCGTAGTCAAAGTTTAAAAATAACTTTAATAATAAAACACGATTATAACAAATATTCTTTATTAAATAATAATTTAAACCCCTCAAACCTTATCAGTAAATAAAGACATGCTAAGTACACGAGTCAAATATGTTGAAAAAAATATTTCTTAATTTTAATTTGTATGAATTACGAAGATATTAACAAAACGTATATATAATGGAAAAATATGTTTAAGACTCTATAGCAGTAGATAATAAAGCTATTACAATATATGAAAACAAAATTATCTGGTCGTAATTAACATGAACAAGGAAATATTAACGTCTATCAATATGATAGATCAAGTTTCACAATTTTTCCATAGTAAATAAATAAACTTAGATATTGAAATAATAATAATGTTATATATATTAAATAATATTTTATTTCAATAAAATTATGCTGTCTTTTTGGTGTCGTCTCCAAGCATTTTCCTTCTCTGTTTCAACATGTGTCCGAAGAGGTATGGGAACAGTGGGATGTATAAAGACATGTAGAATACAAGGAAATAATAGTAATTGAAGATGAAGTTCCAGGTATTCGGCATAGAGACCGTGAACAACTGCTTCTCGACCACTTCATCCAGAGAATGGTACATACATAGAAGTTCACCGGTTATGCCGATGGGATACAATATAAGGAAAGTCGAGTACCTGAAAAAATTGTGGCCATACAAAAATATGTAGACAAAATATTATTGTTTGACAAATCAAACATTACATACCTGAAGAACAACAGGATTTGTGGTACGAAGTTAACCAAATTGAGTGCGTAATACGCGTATCTTATAATTTCCGTTATAGACCAGGCAATAACGCAAAGTGGCAGGCCGGGGCTAACTGTGGCACTGTGTGTGGCTAATAACATGCCACAAACTAGGAAAACTCTTGAGAATATCTGCATGAACACAACTATCACATTTGAAGGCACCAGACGAATCGCTGAGTGGACGACCTGTTAACAAATATATTTTTATGCGGAGGAATATAATTTGAAAGACAAAAAAACATCGTGAACATAATTCAAACTTAAAATTATTTATAGATCTTAAGATCCTAATCACTTAATTTAAAGTAAATTGAAAAGCTACAATTTAAAATACCTCAAAAGACTAATAGAAATAAAATTCGCTTAAGGTATTACACCTGAGGTAATAAAAAAATTGAATTAAGATCCTCCTCTTTCTTTGCAGTCGGTTAGTAGTGTTCAAAATTATATTTAAACAACTGAAATTATATTTTTTATATTTAAAAGGGTCTTTCACATAAATTAATAATAAAAATAACCTAATAATTGATAATTATAATTGACGCATAATAAAATTTGCTTTGAAACTAAATGCGTATACAAATCCAATCGCTATAATAAAACACCGAAGATCCGAATAGAATCTTTGATTTTTTTTTTTGGTTTGATTATATTCGGTATTCGTTTAGAATTAAATAAATTCGAAATCTCAAATATCTGTAAACACTTAACAATGTTAAGTGTTGTTGACACTGACGTAAATTGAACCTTGGACCGTCCGCGTCATGGCGTGATAGGAAAATGCTCATTACACTTTTTATCATCTTATTGATAAATGATTCGGAATAATTTAACTTTATTTTTATAATTACATGTACAACTACCTCTTCGGAAGCTGCTATTCGTATTTATGACTGTAGTTTTCCGTTAATATTTTTTTACCTAATGAGATCTGAGATTTTCACGAGCCATTTAAATGAAAGTAATATTTTGCGGATGTACTACGCGACCTTTTAGCGAAACGTGGGGAGTACGTAGTATTTATCAAAAATAATTTTTAGAATAATTTTTTCCCTACCTTATTTTTACTTTTCACTTTATTCGGATTTTATAATAATTTAACATAATAAAAAATTACATCAGTAACACGATTTGTTCAATAATATTTTAAATTAATGATATAAAATTATATTATTATAGAGGTCGCTAAATATAAATAAAATTTTGGCAGATTTCGTATAAAATTTTAAGTAATAATAACGCTTGTATCAACTAATTAGATTTTACGACTGGCGAATGATGATCGGAATATTAAGGTTTATGAGTAAATTATTAATTAAACATTTTATATGTTGATGTTATTTAATAACGTTTTATTAGCAACGTTTATTTAACTTTTTTATTTTTGTTAAAATGCAAATATGTCTACAACGTTACACACTTTACGTCTCCTAATAATTATTCCATTAAGATCATAACTTATGAAACTATATATATGGTATTATAATAAACAGAACAGTCCATAATCTAAAAATGATAAACTAAATTTTATTAAATCCTATATCAAAATTCTACATATTAGTTGACATCCAACGATCAATCAGACACGCATGAAGCACCAAATAGACTATTAATAAGAAAAAGAGTCTTACTTTTTGGGACAGAGGCGACACTTATACACTGCTGGACCGATATTTACCAAACATAGCTAAGAACCACCGAATTAAAACTATCTTCCTGATAAAAAAAACGCATCTAAACTAGTCGATCATTTTCATAGCTTGGATGCCACAAACAAACACACAGTATCTAATTATGTTAAGATAATAGTAGAGTATTTAATTATATTAAGATAATTCAAATATTCCTAACACTACATTTAGGATTCTAACAAAATCATTATAAAAATATAGTTACCTTATAAAGCCAGTACTTTTAAATAACAATAAAACCTTAACTAGAACAAACTAATTATTATCTTAAACCCAAAACACCTTAAATGAGTTAAATTCAATTTACAAACACACAAATCACAAAATACTTTCCCGCGTAAAAAGTGAACAAACCAAGCGTCATCGCTTTAACATCACTTCGGATGCGTTTAAGAATATAAAGGTTCGGTTCAAATTCAATGTGTGTTCCCTAAGTCTAATTTAATGTTCTGACTCACCACCTACGATGTACATGTTTGTCTTTATAAATTTTTAATACACACTTATATAACACTAGCGTCTAGTTCGGTTATATCGCGTTTCCAAGAGAACTTTTCAAAAGTCAGGGATGAAAACCATTCTATGTTCTTTCTCAAGGTCAACTCTATGTCTGTACCAAATTTCATTAAAATCAGTTCTGTAGTTTAGGCGTGAAAGCGTAACAGACAGACAGAGTTACTTTCGCATTTATATGTAATATTATTATCTCAGATATACGAAGATTATTTTTTTAAGTTTTGGAGTTCTTTGTTTACAAAAATCTTTAATGTTGAACGTTTCATTATAAAATAAATGTTTCTTCAAATGTTAGAATTTTTTGATGAATTTTACAAAAAAAAAGATTAACTCGGATAATAGCGTTTTAAGAACGGCACAAAAAAATTAGAAATAAATCACTTGCGATGATTGAGCATATAAAAAATTATTACAACTAATGAATATGACATAGATATATAATTATTGAAAGTCTGATTTCGCCGTTGGAAAACTATTGCACTCCATACATTGACGAAGATAGCAAACAATTTATTCATTGCAAATATGTAAGATTATAAGGCAACCTAAGATTGCATATTTATAAATACCATATTATTTTTAGGCCAGATAAGGTTCTTTAGAGCTTTTGAAAAGAAACGTCCTATCTTTAGATAAAGTTGGATTAAATTGTTCCCTTCGCCGAGGGGAAACAGACCTTAAATTCCGGTATTGATTGAGGTTGAAACGTATACTCGTTTAAGAGAAAACTCATATCTGTTATAATTATTTTAAATGATACAAAACTGGATACGTTTATGTTAAACTTTTTTGTATACTTTTATCTGTGTTACACCGATATCTAAAACGCAACTATCAAAAAAAATGTGCAAGTATCTAAAAAATATTCCTTTGAAAGAACGAAAAATAATTTAAATAGTTTCTATGCCCCATATTATATGTATGACCAAATTTCTGTTAATAAATATCCAAGGTCATTATTCCACAACAAAGTCACGGAGATTTTTAATTTCTTTTTAAATACAATTATTATTATCTTATCATAGATTTAAATTATACAAACATAAATAAATTATATATATTTTTAATACATATTTTGTTTGATAACCAGTAATGTTACCGTAGTAATAAACTATGATTAGTTAGAAACAGAAAAATATCGAATATTTCATTGTCAAAACTCAAGAATTTCGAAAAATAGCAGTAACAATGTAAATATTTTTATTTTCTCGTAATTTTCCTCAACAGTCAAGTTGATCAAACAGAAATCGTATCGTGTATTACCATATAACTAACTACAACCAATTGTTTAAATCACTCTTAAGAAACTATGTAAATCGAATGTTTTGAATACAATGACATATTAATATACTAGAATTTAAATGACATACAAAACGTTATTTACATAATCAATGAAAGAAAGAACATAATAAGCTTGAAAAAAACTTTAGAAATAAATAATTGCTTTTAAAATTTGACAGTTAAAATGGGGGGAAAATTTATAATTTGACATATAAATTAAAGTGAAATACCTCCAATAACGCAGCATTCTGGAATATTATGACCGTCCACTTTATTTCATTCCAGAAGTCCTCTAACTTTCCACGATTGAGGAAAAATGTGGCAGTTTGTAGCAATAGGTAAGACCAACTGGAAAGAAATATAAATATATTTAAAAATTAAGCTCCCTTAACCTGCAATAAAGTTTAAGTATATCCCTGTTAACACTTTAGTTTGAAATCGAAAATTATCTGTTTACGATTAAACATACCAATGAGTTCTAGGTGCAGTGCACAATATAAGAAAACCTTTATTTTGAGTATTACAAACGTTACGAAAATATTTTCTCAAAAAAATGATGTACGAGTATATTGAGCTTGTGATATATTAAGTAACATACCGACCCTAAACTATGGAAATGTTTGAATATAAATTGTTATGTATTTGATTTCGCTTCATAAATCTCATAAAAAAAAATTCTGGTCACTAAGCAGTTCCGGAAACTCGTTTACGATGACGGTAAAACAAACTTGTTCTTCATCAATTTAAACACTTTATAGTTAAAAAGCGATGGTTTCAAACGTAAATCATGACTAAGTATATAATAATTTTTTATTAAAATTTAATTATAGAGGAATAAAAATATGAACATATTTATGGTACTTCGACATTTTGATTATCGTGATTCAGGTGTTTTACGATAAAAATAAAGTTTTAGTAATATGTTTTTACGACATTTTAACTTGAATATTATATATATTACAATGTGATTTAGTTAAATATAACTGGGAAGGATTTTGGTTTTCGAAAACGTACATAAAAAAATCTAAAATAAACTTTAAATTAAAAAGACATAAATCAAAGTTTGGCCACGATAATCCACGATTAATCGAATTCTGTGAAATTCTAAAAGTATGTTAGATGATATGCCCCAAAGATTTTTTAAAATTCAAAATTAATTCCGTTTGAAAGTTACAGTTATCCAGTTAGTAACAGTTATCCACACATTAAATTAAAATATAAGTTATGAAATATGAAGACCTCTTTTATTAATGTAGAAAGTCTTACGAGTTCTTTGAATATTTCTAAAAACTCAAATGTTTATACAATAATTTATCTTAAATGAACGCTGTTGAAACAAAATCTTAGCAATAGAAAATGTATGTATGAAGATAACATCACTTCTTTTGTTCTTGATTGAATGTAATCATTTCTACATTTAATAAGTTTCAGTTATATTTATACATTTTATACATGTTTGCTTACCCAAGCGTTTGAATACCGTTGTACGCGATAAGATATAATTTTCCTAATGTTGAAGGTCCCGAATGTTTCGATTTCGATGTTTTCGAAGACATTATCTATAAATATAAATATGACGTTTCACAACCTTGACTAATATTGTGATTATTAAAAATGTAATTAGTTTTTAAACACGATTTTTATTGCTTGCGTCATCAGACAGTAACAGTGTACCAATGTCTACAAATTACAATAATACCAATTTATTCGTGGGTACTGACTGTCAATTAATGACGGCGGTTCGAAGTAGACTGTGTATAACTGTGTTTAAAAGGAATGAAACATTGAAAAACATTAAAGCATTTACATTTATTAATAAGTATGTAAATGTTAACTGAAGTACATTTTAATATTATCACGTAATTTAAACATAAACCTCGAAATATTTTCCATAAATTTATTTATTGTCATTTGTCAAGAATACGCTGACAGTTTATCTTATAAATACAGATTAATATATACATTTATATCGTTACCGTATACACTGTTTATTGTTTTAGAATATTAAAGTATCAAAATATTTATAACTTCATTATATATTTGTATGATTGAATGAAAGAATACGTAAAATTATATAATAAGTATTTTTTTTATTACACCAAAAATTAACTACTTCAAAGTATGAATTTACAATTTTATGAGAAGTGATAGTATGTTTTAAAGGTATTACATATATTCTTTGGTGACATAATATTTTAAGAAATCTCAGAGTACTAAAAAATAAAACCATCGTTTCCGATTGCCATTTTAATATAATTTCTATATTTACTTAAATCTTAATGCAAAATATTTTTTATCTGTTGTCACTGTCTCTTGGAGATACTATATCGGAACCATAGATATTTCTTTTACATCGCTTGCGTTAGGAGAGGTAAGACAGGGTCGGAATTTAAAATTAAATAAGAGTGTTAACATTACTGTTATACATTATTTTAACTTCATTATATAAACCATAGTCTTAATTTTATTTCAGAAATCGCTATCGTCAATTTCCAAAATGGTTGCGGCCAAGAAACAAGTAAGTGTTCTAAACACGTGGTATTCTTTTGGACTTGTGGCATGGTTATTTACGGTTTTTTACAGTAATTGGCCTCCTTATTACAAGTCCTATATTAATTGTCACTCGATAGGCTCGTTAATTCTATAATTTACGGGGTTGAGGATGTAACATACATTTAAGGTTAACTTTATATTGTCACATTACTTTAATGGCGAAAATAACTTGAATGCATAATAACCTGTGAAACATTGCTAATTTACAATTTTATTTTCAGAAAAAGACCATTGAGTCAATCAACTCAAGATTGGCTTTGGTTATGAAATCTGGCAAATACTGTCTTGGCTACAAGCAAACATTGAAGACTCTGCGTCAAGGAAAAGCTAAGCTGGTGATAATCGCCAAGAATGCTCCTCCACTAAGGTGAGACTACTGAGAAGTAGAGTTCCCCTATATAAGTGATTGGAAAGCATATGGAGTCTTTGGACTAAGAAGTATGGTTTTCCTTATAGTGATCCAGTGAAATGGTTATAATTTAAAGTATAGCCGTCTCATACATTATTTAATATCTAACGATCAGTAAGGAAATTTAACATTTTTGTACTGGATCACTAAATTACGGGAACCCTATGGAGTAGTCAGAATCCATGTGCTTTATTCACAGGTGAGAAATTTTGTTGAGGAAAGTTTTTCATGACATAATACTATTTATAGCAAGTTACCTGGAAAACTGCAATGTTAAAATATTAATATTGTTTATTGTACATCCTTAAATTAACCTTTATACGATTTATAGTATATATTCATAATCTTGTCCACATTATTGCTACAGAGCTATTTCTTCCAGACATCAAACATTAATAATTAATTTCTTTCTAGAAAATCTGAGATTGAATACTATGCCTTATTGGCAAAGACTGGAGTCCACCACTACAGCGGTAACAACATAGAATTGGGCACAGCTTGTGGAAAATACTACCGAGTGTGTACACTCGCTATCACAGACCCTGGTGACTCGGATATCATCACCACCCTGCCCGAGGCAACAGCATAGGTTTAAATAAAGTTTTAAATTAATAATATCTTTTATTTATGTGTATGTCCTATTGTATATTAGAAACTTACAGCTGTCACTTATTCCTGCTATAAGTAAATAATGTATTTGTTGTTGTAAACTAAGGTTTAGTAGTTTCCCTAGAAAGACTAATTTAACACATAATGGTTATGCAAAAATTTAATTTATTAAGAACATTGCATATACAATCAAAATGCAGTTGTAGAAAGACCGAATATATTAAAGCTAACCAAAACTATATTCATTTGTAGATTAAATATTCTTAGAAACATACTGTTAGGATACCAATGGGCAACTTGAGCCCATATTGATGGAGCACTATACAGGGTGACTGGTGAATTACTATCGATATTTAAGGACGTGGTAGTTGACGATCATATATGACAAAATAAAAATTAATATAACATAAATATTAATAAACTTCTAAGTAAAGTTATGTAATTAATTACGCATCGTATGAACACCCTACAGATTACACACACACATACGCGTGCGGCGGCGTGTTGTTGTATCAGCACGCGTCCACACTTGGAACGTGTCAACATTTTATTTAAATATACGGAAATTTTGTCAAAAATTAAGTACCTATTTTTTACATAATTCGAATGAGAATCATGTACCGAGTATTCTCCTTAAATATTGATAGTAATTCACCAGTCACCCTGTATATAAGGGCCAATTTAGCGATTTTGTCAGTATTTTGCTTTAACCACTTGATAATACTCTATTCTAAAACATCCGTTTAAAAAATGCGTAATTTTTGGTTGTAAGACTTAGTTTTTATTGCAACAAAACAGCATAACAATAAGGGCTTAGATAATGTTTATAGGTATATATGTATATTTAAAAAACTAGTAGGTTACAAAAAAGTTCATAAAACTTAAATGACGAACATGTATAATGTATATCATATTTGCTATGTTAAGTTTCAAAAGCATCAGTTGTCGCATGTAAAAGATAAATTGAAATCAAACTTAACGCCTCTACTGAACCATTGCCATTTTGCACACTGGCCCTTGTATTCACGAGCCATCGATATATCAACATACCCTATTACTATTATAAACTTGAAAATTATTTATCAGTGATTAAAAATAATTTATATTTCTAGTCTGTACCAAACGTCGAAGGTTAAAAATCTTAAAATGGAGAAAAATGTAATTAGTGTGAAGTTAATTACACAAGGGTTTATATACGCATACAACATTGTTTTCCGTATTTTTTCGATTGAAGTACAGGAAGCAAAGATTACATCAGAGTGATATTCTAGTGTCTATTTAAACACATTCTATATTATTAATGGTTCGTATTAGCAACAGCTCATATGTTACATCTAGTTTTACCCAGAAGTAATATAATTAGCAAGTCCTTAGAAATCTTAAAGTATCCCAAGGAGTTAAATTCATCCACCTAGTTCATCATGGAATACTAAACACGGGACATATGAAAAGTGATTCAAAAATCAGGGTAGAAAAAGCAATAACACAAATTCTCCAGAACATTTTATTAATAACACAAGTAATTTGAACCCAAAATTCAAAAAGGACATAATGTGTAGGTATATGTATTGTTATTTATTTCTGAATAATTTGAACTGCTGATAGTAATAACATATGTCACTCAAGTCTCAGCGTTTAAATAATACATATGTATTTAAAAAATATACTGAAAATTCAAATTATATTTTCTAACTAGTGGCTATAGGCCTAGTAGGTCAACAACAAATTCTTTTATCTCCCACACAAATTCAATCTGGAAACAAAAAATAAAACAATTAATTTATAAAATAAAACTTAATAACTATATAGTAATTTGATATAACAGACTACAGAAATAATAGCAGTAAAACAACGCAGATTTGAGAGTACAACATTTACAATATGACAGAAACAAATATATTGTATATATTAAATAAATAAATTCTGAACACAGTGGCTAAATTTTAACAAGAAAAATCAAAGACCAACCTGCTCAATTCACCATCATTAAATCGCAGCATGAACTGCTGCGGGCAAGCGGAGTACATACATGTTTTCATAATAATCATTCAACCCATATCTGGAAGGCAGAATCAATATTAGTACAAATGAATATTATTCTACTATATTTTACATATTCTCCCTATAATATACTAACTCCGTTACTATGAATAACCAATGTTTATACAGATTTATATTTTATAGTACATGGCTCTATATATAGTTTGCTAGGTCTCATTTTGTAGTATACATGTATGATAGACAATGATTTTTCATTGCGGTTGATTTTTGGTCATATAACATTGTTATAACGATTTAGTTTATTACCATTACCAGGTCATAATTTCTTAGTATTTATCATTTCTCCTTTGTTATCATCAGTATTGTTTGTACATTTTTTTAAATATAAATATAGTAGTCTTAATAAATTTCCTATTACCTTAAGAACTTACGATATATACATTTTTCACCACAATATATTGCTGTTGTGGGAACACAGAATAAACATAACACATACCTATAACAATTGACCAAATCTGTTTACTTTCTAAACGAAAATATGTGTTCATTATTGCTATTTATTTATTAACTACTTACTGTACTCTTAGTACATTTTACAACTTAAAATGAATTCTAGTGGATAATATTATTAAATATGAATTACCTTGTAACTGCTCAAATAATTGTTATCCTTAAATCGGTAGTCATAACTACGCTTGTAAAATCATTCTGGTGCTGCTCATGATGATTGCGCTAAGACTTTGTCAACATTAAGTTATTATTTATTATAAAAAAATATTTTCCTTTCGTACCAACCTACACCGTGGCATACATACTGTACTGTAGTATGTCAAACCTTTAGAAACATGTCTTGACCAAGAATGTCCAGAATTAAAAGAAAATAAACAATTATTAAATAGAATAACCATTTAAACTAAACTTGTATTAAATGCTTTGGCGGCATTTTGTAATCATTTCATTTCCATGGCATAATGTTTATATTTACGTCTAAGCTTCCAGATAATAACCAAAAAATTTGAATTGCCATGCAAAGGTTACCTTTGTTTTTGAAAATATTAAATAAATTACACAATTTGCTTCCATTGTTTTTATTATCAATACGAAATTGGAATTCTTAAAATCTAAATATAATGGTACCTACTTGTACCATTTACTTACAAATCACTTCTCAATACATTATGTATTATTATATTTTTAAAATAATTTATATTGTGACTTGAAAATGAAACAGTATTTGCACAAAAAAATATTAAAATGCTTAGTATATTATATAAAAATCTGTGACTTGGGTAGTCTGTAACATCGTCATTGTATTTAGTCAGTATGTCTAAAAAATAACCTAATTTTTACCTAATTATGACAGAATAAATTAAAACATAATGCATTCATTGAATATGCTTCGAATAATTGATCCAGCTACAAATATTTAGAGTTTCATATAGCTAGCTGTTCATAGTTTTTTCTTAGAGATCACCAACTGCCTGTAATACAAACATAGATATTTTGATGCCTTTCCCAATATTCACCTATGTCATTATGAAATCTGTTTATCTTCATATGATTATATTGAATACGTTCATGTTGAAGTCAGCACTTTATATGTTAGTATAATAATTAATATCCACTTTCAAATATAATATCATTGAGCCAAAGCAGTATCATCGACAAGGTTCATTTTTATATCTGTATTTACACAAGAAAACTAACCAACAGACAACAGTCATTCAAAAATTGCATTTATAATTATTATATATTAACAAATCCCATACTCATTGAATAGTATCGCAGCTTATAGAGTAGAGAAACATAAATTATACAGAATATTATTAACATAATATGTAATATTGTTAAGTCTGTGTTACTAACATTTGACATTTTATCTATTATATAACCATTCTAGTATTTGTTTCAAATTACTAATAAATAATTTTAGTTTTATTCCAAGTATAAAACAACTATTTCAAATTATTATATTTCCAGCTTGTTCAACTTATTTCTAAGAGAGTATATTAAGTACTGAATGAATATATATTATATATGAACACATTTTTTTTGTACTTGTGACAATCATCAGCGGTAGATTTCAGGTCAGTAATTGTTCTTAATTATTTTTATATTCGTATTTGCAGCATTTTATTAAAAAAGCCATTTATTTAGTGCAGTGTGTTTTTGAAATATAATCACTTATAAATCCCTTGATTATTAACAATTAATAATGATATTAGTACATTTTAAAAAATTCTTTTATAATCTTAGCAAACAGTAAAGAGATCTAAAGGAGTTGTTTCAAGTGTTTTTTTACACTTTAATACTATTCATTTACAGAGTCTTGGTGAATCAACTCCTAAAAATTTATTTTACAAGTTACAAAATGCTTACACCTACTATATGCCTTACACCTTTCCTAAGTGAATGTGAATTGAAACAACTCTTTTATATTGACAGATTCTCCTACACCTTTCTTATGAAGAGAGGAAGACATCTAAAGTTAACTTCAATAATCTTAGTTCCTATCTCCACAGGGTTTTTGTTAGTATTTCTTGTACTTACCATAGTTGTTGTTGTACTGTGGTTGCTGGTACGTGTTGTATGAAGGCTGTGAGTATGAGTCGTAATTTGGTGTGGGACCACCATAATTGGGCTCGGCTGGACCATAGCCAGCGTCTCCCGCGCCGCTTTGGTTATTGCTAAACATAAAATTCATAATCATTATTTGTAACACAAAATAATTACTTCAGTGTACTTATTTAAGACATTTTACCTGTAACCCTCATTCTCATAACCTTGCCCGCCAGTGGAATAACCGTAACTTGAGGAACCGCCATATCCACCAGAGTTATAGCCCGAGTTAGACTGAGCTGGAGGTTGTGATGAATAGTTGTTGCTTTGATATGAACTAAAACAAATGCAAATCTTTTATCATATTGCAAAAATATTACAAAGTAGTTGTTAATTACTAAATGATTATCAGAAGTTAATTATCTGCATCTAAGTATCAGACGGCAATTCCTATCATGCAATATAGTTTCATCATGTTAACTTAAAACAAAAAATAAGTTGAAAACTAATATAAGATATTATATTGTAGGTTCTCTTTTATGATTTTTCTTACCTTGAAGTATTATATGAAGGTGGAGCATATGGTTCAGCTGCTGGTGGTTCATATGGCTGATAGCCTGTGTGCCTACAAATAAATTATGTTAGAAACTAAAGAGATTTTTGCTAGAGCTATGATATATTTAAATGTTGAATCTTTCAGATATATTTTAGCGTCATATATGTATCAGACGGCACATTCCTATCGTGTATATGGATCATCATAATGAGTAAAGCATTTTTTGGTGCTAGAGGACATTGTTTGAACTGAGAATCTACTTACGAAGGAGGTCCATATCCATTAGATGGTGGTGCATTATGTTGTGGGGCGGGTGGTTGATACCCATTGTTTGGAGGAGGCCTTCCACCTCCACCACCACCTCTTGGCCCGTCAAATCTAAAATGTATATACAATATACATAAATATTACTCTCTTGCCCTGCTCCTTACTTTGAACATTTAGTGTGATATTCTTTAAATAATTTAAGTTTACATCAATTGTTATATAAATTGTATATGACCTTAATACATGTAAATGTATCAGCAGTAAAATGTTAGTGTTTTAGAATGTAGAACTAAGATTTCAGATATTATTACTATACAGGGTGACTGGTGAATTACTATCGATACTTGAGGACGTGATATTTGATGATCATATATGACAAAATAAAAATTAATATAACATAAATATTAATAAACTTCTGAGTAAAGTTAACCAGAAGTTATGTAATTAATTACGCATCGTGTGAACACCCTACAGATTAGGTATACACACACACACGCGTGCGGCGGCGTGGTGTTGTATCAGCATGCCGCCGCACGCGTCCACACTTGGAACACTGGGAAAGTGTCCACACTTTATTTATTTATACGGAAATTTGGTCAAAAATTAAGTACCTATTTTTTTTTACATAATTCGAATGAGAATCATGTGCCGAGTATTCTCCTTAAATACTGATAGTAATTCACCAGTCACCCTGTATATCCCATAGATACAGTACAGTAAGTTCTAGTAATTAGTAATTAATAATTAAATACATACTACATTAGTATTAACCATATCATTTTTATACAATACTAATAATTTGACAGTATGGGTATTGTCTCATATTTAATTATTGTGTTTTACTAACAAAGTTTTATACTATTATAGTGAAAATAATTCAACATACCTAGCACGTTTAGGGGGTCCACCACCTACGGGTCCATGTAGAGGACCACCTCCTCTCTTGAATGGAGGTCCTTGAGGTCCCGGGCCGGCTGGCTGATGAGGTACTGGAGCCTGACGAGGTGGAACATTCGGTGGCCCAACAGGTGCAGGTGGCATATGAGATGGACCTCCTGGCGGCCCATGCCCACCTCTGGGTCCTCGGCCTAATACACATATGGAGAGATGTCAATTATATTACAAGTTTTTGATGAGAATGTTTGCGATTTATAAAAGGAAATTATTGGCTTATTGTAGGGAGCACTAGGATTAACCGCTCTTGAGTTGTATGGTTCGTTGCTACTGTACCGAATTGTTGTTTGAATTGAATTACGTAATAAATCTCATTCAAGTGAACATTGTATGTTCTTTATCTATACTAATATTATAAAGCTGAAGAGTTTGTTTGTTTGAAAGCGCTAATCTCCGAAACTACTGGTTCGAATTGAATAATTCTTTTTGTGTTGGATAGTCCAGTTATCGAGGAAGGCTGTAGGCTATATAACATCACGCTACAACCAATAGGAGCAAAGATATAGTGGTAAATGTGTAAAAAACGGGAGAAATTATTTCATCTTTGAAGCCTTCCGTTGCGGGCGCCGTGAAAACGGTTCAAGATACACAAAAAATATGTACTTAAGAATAATAGCTCTTTTAATGATCTAAAAAACAGTCCGCGACAGTATATGTCTATCTTTTAAGATTAACTCAAAAAACCGTTTTTATGGTACCTAATTTGGTCAGAATAATTTGTTTAAGTTGTATCAACATAATAATATTATTCTTTATTCAAATAAACAAATAAATATGTTGTTGGTTTATGGTTAAGAGTACTTCATTGTGAATAAAAAGAAACATAGGTTTTATCCTGAAAATTCTACGGTAACCTGACCATTCTGAAAACCCCGCAAGAACGGGAACTATGTGGGAAGAACCAAAAATCTGCCGGAAGTCACTATTCTACGCGGACGAAGTCGCGGCAAAAGTTAGTGAGAAAATAAAGTTCTTTAACCACAATATATATGAGAAGGTAACTTTCAAAAAAATCTTTCAATTATCTGTGAAAGGCTTGTGTCACAGAAAGGTTGGTAGAAGCGTGAATTTTGTATAAGTTCCCACAAGTAAAAATTGTGGGAAATATAAAAAAAATTCTATCCTCTGCCAGAAATCAATCAAAGTTTTTGATGCAAACACTCAAAAACATGTCAGTAGATGCCATACTGACATTGGACAAAACACATTTTGGATAAATAAAACATCATATTATCTGAGAAGATTCTAACTAATGATAAGAAGAAGGATGTAGATAAATTACTACAGGTTGTTTTGGAAACTGGCAAGAGGTAGACAACTGTTTTAAATGGTTACAATGAACTTCATTTTAATGCTCTTGCAACTGTTTCCGAAGAAAGAATTGATAGAGAATAAATGTGACTGCCTGGATCAAAAAAACTTATAGAATTTAAGTGACATTACTTATTAACTATTGTAATCTTCTATATATATAAAAATGGATTGCTGTTCCTTAGTCTCACTAAAACTCGAGAACAGCTGAACGGATTTATCTTATCTTAGTCTTGAAATGTTCGTGGAGGTTCAGGGAAGGTATAAAAGCTGAAAAAAATTGATTCATTACTGGGAAAACCATAAAAACAGCCCTTTTCTATTTCCCATACAAACGTTTTTTTAGACATTAGATTTGACAACTAACTAATATGTCAATCATTCTGTAGCACTTCAAAAATCGCAGATTAATGGCTTTATACAGGTAAGCTCCAAAAATATAAATAAAAAAACGTAATAGATATTTCTTGATTATAGGGCGAAACGAAGTTCGCCAGGTCTTCTAGTATATATTATAATACTAAAACAAAATATTGTAATACTAAAACAAAACATTTACTGTGTTTTCAACACAAATCATGTTTTGTCCATGTTGGTGGTGCAAAATGTGTTTTGTCCTTTTTCTTTAAATAAAACTAAAGATAAACCAGGTTAATTTATGTGGTATCATATTAATTACATTCTATCAGCACCAAATAATTTACAAGTTTGCCCAAGTGTCAAAAATAAGGTGATTATTTTCAGCTCTATATCCAAAGGACAAATCATGTAGTAAGTCATCTCATAAATACAGATTTAGTGTAATATTGTTCGTACCTCTCATTAGCATGCCCCCTCTTCCACCACCTCTATCATTGCGAGGTCCAAAGTCTCCACGACCCCTACCACCACGACCTCTCATACCACCCGGACCTCCTCTGTTGTTGTTAAAACCACCCCCTATAAAAAATAAATTTGAATAAAACACTAAGTACAGCATCATAATATCTGGAATAAATCAAGTACATCTACAGGAATATAAAGTTATATTAACAAAAATTGTAATTACTTTGAGGTGGTCCACGTGATTCAATTGTAGGTACTGGGTGAGGACCGGGGCCTTGAGGGCCTGGAGGAAAGCGACCGCCGCGTTCATCACCGCCGCGCATTGGCCCTCCTCGAAATCCACGGGGTCCACCACGTGGAGGCGGCATACCTCGGAAAGGACCACCGCGACCACGTAAACCTAATCCAACCCTAAAAACAAACACTGACTTGAAGACAACCTAACCTAACTTTGACAAAACGTAGGTTTTAATCGAGATACTTAATTTATTAACCGTAAATAACAAATGTAGAGTCACAAATTTTTAGCAAAACCATACCTTCCACGCATATCGAAACCACCACGACCGCGAGGCCCAGGTCCGCCGCGACCGCCTCGGAACCCTCGATTGGGACCATCCATGATGCCAAATTAAGGTATGGTAAGATATATGTAATGTGTTAAAAATTATAATAATAAAAACGTTATTCCATGATAAATGGGATTATTATTTTTAAAGAACTGATGCTTTTCTATATAGTACTTATTGTGCGAACAAACTTAATCAAAATGGCGGGAGCCGACGCGAGCGGGAAGTCAACAGATTACAGAAAGGAAAAGAGGCGACAGATTAAATTAATACATTATACAGTTTTAATTTATAAAATTAATAAAATTTTTCCTTAAATCATAAAACTTCATGTCACTTTATTTATATTATTATCTAATGAAATATATAAAGAGAATTTACATTAATATATTTATTTTAGGATTTTTTATTTGGAATGGGGCTACAACAAAATACTAAATAGTTTTGACAGTTCGATGGCAAATCTTCATTCTTATTTCTTCAATAGAATAGGTGTTGTAATACCTATAATAAATTATTTATATTTGTTTACTCTTGAAACTGGTAAATTAAATATTTTTGCGTGTGTATATAATAATTGTTTTACTAGGTGATTATCACAATATCTATTTGTTTGCAAAGTGCCATTTCATTTATTAAGATACGTTATAAAAAGCTTTAAAGAGTATTTTGACGAAAGGTCGAGGTGTAAGGGAATATGGTATAAGACCATACAGAGTGAGCCCCCTCGTATTCCGTGATTTTGTGACTCAGGGCTAACTCGTCAACAAATTGTTATGGCTCTTAGACTGCGTTCCGGACACATTCCTGCAAATAAATTTGGATTTCTAATGAAGAAATTTAATTCTCCGAATTGTGATCTATGCGGGATTCAGGATGACATATATCATTTTCTTGTGGAATGTGTTCGAAATGCTGCCGAAGGAAGAATTTGGCATTAATTTAAAGAATATAGGAGTTTTTCAAAGTGCATTATCCATACCAAATTCAGAGATATCCAAAACTATTTATCGGTTCAAGTTAAAATAAGACATAATTTATAAATTTTAGAATTATTTTAAATACTTTAAGGCTTATGTTTATTGTTGGTAGTGGGATTATTATTAAGGGAATGATGGGACTGACATCTAGCTTTGCTGCTAAAAAGTCCCTAAATAAAATCAGATTAAAAAAAACGTTATAAAAGATTTTTGTGTACATTATTGCTAAATAAGATAAAAGTACTATATTCCAGGAATGGATGATCAGGCCAAGATTTTGAAATATTTGGTCTCAGTGGAGAAGTTGGCTGAAGAAATAATAAATGACAAACAAGAAATAATCATGATAGATAAAAGGAGAAACCAGAACCGAGAAGCTTTGAGAGATCTCACAAAATCAGGACAAACAAAATGTTGGGTTACAGTCGGTTCTGTTCTTATCAAGCACAATGTAGATTCAGCCAAAACATTACTAGAGACAGACCAAATGCAATTGAACATAGATATAAACAAGCTAAGGAGCAATTTAAAAATTAAAGTTAATGATTTAAGAGACTTGGAAATTCAGCCTCCAGTGCCTGGGTTAATGTTGGTCCCAATGTCTAAGAAAGAAACTCAAGGCTTATCAAGTGCTGGTTTGATTCCTCGGTGAAAATAACAGTGTATTTACTAAGTTCTTTCAGCTAGCATCTATTATTAACATTTGGTGAATGTTTTGTTCTTACATGTGAAATATGAAACACTAAAAAAGATGATTTGGAAAATAATTTCTTGTGTTAATATTTCAGTTTTAAGATTATAATAAAGAAAACAAAATAATATTTTGTATTTTATTGGGCTAAGGTATTTCAAATAAAAAGTCATCAAATATATAATAATTTTCAATATGCACAGTTACACCTTTATACATGTAAATAATATAGTACATAACAAATAAATAATAAATAGTACCAAATTTTTAGGATTTATCCATTAATAAAATTATAGTAGCTGTTTGGTGTGATAATTATCATACAAAGTGATGTTTCTAAGTGCCAATTTCTTATGTGAATATAATAGTTAATTATTTTACAGCATCTAAATGGGTTATTTGTGTGGGTTACATATGGAGTTAATATTATAATATTATTTTGTCCAATGTGGATTTTTTTAAAATAAACATAAGTTTGTCCAATTATAATCATCAACCAACTAGCTTAACATTAAAAAACAATATAATATGGCATAATATTCATTGATAGTTTGATTTGAATTACATTTTCTTACAGAAATTAACACCTGCAAAATAAAACCTAAGCATTATTAACTTACTTATTAATAATTGTCAATATCAAAACATTTATCCTATAGATTATTGCTTAATAATATATATTCCTTAGTAGCTTGTAATGAAGTTATAGTATTCAGTACAAAATGCCACTTTATCTGATAAAGAACCTCAAATACGAAAATGTAAATTGTAATATTTTGTGGATAGTCTTTTGAGCACATATTATTCTGTCATTATCACAAGTCTTGTAATTCCGAATGGCCAAAGCACATGATTGATTTTTTTTTGTTTCGTTGAATAGAATACTAGCATGACAATGGCGTGTGTCGTCGTAATTTTTGTGGCGGGGTTTCGCCCCGTCTAAGTTTTCCACTACCAATTCGCCATTCCAGGTTTATTCAATGTCATAAAATATATTTGGCAGGACGAGCCACCTTTTGCCGATGAGAAGAATACCTTGTCATTACGTTCACATAAAAACTTGAGACGTTGGGCCTTTTTGTGCATAAAAACACCGTCAAGATGACCACTCTCTACAGATCGTATTTCAATGGCTTTATTGCCCCAACCCATTATTTGGCCAGTTCCTATGTAGGCGACCGAAGTAGGCATCTCACCCCACTGCAAATGTTATTTGTTTATTAGTTGATGAATTTATGTATAATCAAAAGCAAATTAATTAATTGACTTTTACATACCTGCAGAACTATATTTTTGCTAACCCTACCATAAGTATTTACGTATACACCTTCATTATCGTAGCATAACAATAGTTGCACGCCATTTGAATTAGGCAATGGTACTATGCAATGCGGAACAATTGCTCCTTGCGTCTGAAAAGATTATGTACGAATTAATTAGATGACAATTTCTTCAACAAGAGTAAATATACTATAGATACAATATATAAGAGAATAAATATACTACATAACTCACATGCTTTGGAATATAAATATCATATACACTGGCAGTATCGAGATCAACAGCGTGGAAACCGTCCGCTGAACCGTAAATTACTTTCAGTCTTGTACCTTCCTCGATAGTTAGGTCTACTAGTAGAGGTCTGCAAGAGAACATTTAATTACAATGACAAAGTAGGATAGTATGTTTATAGCTCCTAATAGTTCTTTCTGAACCAATAATATTTGTGTTGTCTTTTTTTGTTTAAATATATTTAGATGTCGAAAAAGATGTCATTACATGTAACGTCTTAGTAGTAACAGTTCATTTGCTCATATGGTTATGGAATATGAATTACATAAATGTCAAACATTACCTATGTTGCAAGTCCCCAAAACTTTTAAAGGCCATAAATTTGTGATATGGTTTGGGTGCCCACGCATAGATCTCGATGGAGTCTTTAAGAGCGATCACGAGGAACTTAATGCGCTCGTACTTCACTATACGGAAATGAACAGCGCCCTGTAATTCTCCTACATTAATCCAGCCATTCCTCCTCTCAACTTGCTGTAAGCAGAATAAACGCGTTAATTCCCATTACCGAAAAATAAACAGCATTATGGAGGGTTTTAAGTAAAACACTAACGTCACTTAAGCCATCAGTACGCAAAATCTTTGATTTTAACCAGCTCAAGTAGTAGACACGAACGCGGTTCTTCTTTCCAGAAACAGTGACGAGTATATTTTGGCCTTCTAGCACTTCCATCTGTTGGAAGCGGCGTCTTGAGATCAACTGATATACCTTTCCTTGGCCAGAACGATCCAGCAGCATCAAGCCGTTTTCGGTGCCGATGAGAAGATTTACTCCTGCAAATTAAATGTAATTAATCTAACACGGTTTTCATATGAAATATAATGTATTAACGTGAATAACGTACCCCACAGTGCAGCGCACAAAATCTCAGAATTAAATCTCTTCTTGTATTTCCTAATCTCAGGGGTATCAGAGGAGAGGTCGTGTCCGGTCGGCGTTACGTTTACGTTCACGTGGCTTTCACGGCGCGAGGCATTCCCGGAGCCACCGGTGCCGCTCCCGGTAGAGCCCGCGCCGAAGCCGAATGTTATAAACGACCGCTGCTTCTGTTGCAATGGAAGGAACTGTTGCTGCGAGCCGACCGATGAGTTGGAGGGGGAGTGTTGCAGGGGGTGGGGGGAGGAGCCGGCTATGAAGGACTTAGAGGGGGTCGACTGGACCGAGGAGGGGGGGTGGTGGTGATGATGGACGGGAGCGCCCCCGGCGATCGCCTGCCTATACTGTAAAAGAATTAAACCAGTTCAATTGTTATGTCCGCATTGTATAATATCCTTCTATATAAATTGTTAGTCATAAATAAAATCCATCTCCCATTTATTAGTTTTCATCTCAGTATGATCGGAAAATTATTTGCTGGTTGATGTCTATGCGTTTAAAGAGTTTTGCTTTTTTGTGAACGATTCATAACAATTCAGGCAACTCATGAAATAACTAGGAAATCTTTAGAGTGATCGCTTAGCATGGTTTATGTTACAAGACGTTATTTATTGTTTTGTATGTTATATGGACTCATCTTCGCTGAAATCAAGTTGTTTACTTATAGTGTACAAGATTTGCTTAACTTTATTTTGCATTCACATAGATTTGACACAAAATTAATCACAGAACCCTCGAACATCACCATCAAGTTCGCTATTTTCCTTTACACTTGCAGGTATTAATGAAGCTACAAATGTATACTCCTTTAAACTACTGAATACTGTCAAGGCTAAGAATGACGCAGCATATGAATACACATGTAAGCTAGAATGCATATATAGGGAAGAAGTGAATCTATTGACATTCTATATGATACGCTTTAAGCATTCTTTACTTACGTCGTGATAACAGCAGTCTGCAAACCGGTCGCGGACCAGCTCCAGGGTGTTTTGCATGATTGACAACCATTATCACATTAATACTATATACTAGAAGCTTTGCAATATACCTATTGCGATTAATGGGACCCTTGACGATATTATAAATTGTGTATAGAATTAGTCTTATAGTTATGTTCAGTGTAAGAATAAAGTATGTTTCATTTCATGTCTGTATAAATGTTCAAAAGCCATGAGTCCCATGTGGTAGTACATATAAATAATCGTAAGTCACTTAAGCACGGATTTAGTGAAAAGGTTCAATGTAATTAATGTGAATCGTCCATATAATTGATTCGAATAGCTTACAAAATCTTTTGAGGCTATGAGTGAATGAATGAACGTTTATAATTACCTCTTCGCTTGTCGATTTATCGTGGCGCGGCGGAGTTGTCGGCTGTCCGGCTTGAGAGAGGAGATCGGGCAGTACCGAGCTGGTGCGAGAACCACTGCCTTCATTGCCACTTGAACGGCCCTACAGATAATTCCACACAATAATTTCATATTAAATAACCTGCAACCAATTTTTGGTACGGCCCATTGTATTGATAAAATACATTCCTATATACTAAATATATGTCTGTACTTTTCATTTTGAATCGTAACAAATTGTACATTATACGTAATATTTAATCATATATTTATTACATAAACACCACACCATGGCAAAAGCTGTCAATATAAAATACAACGATTATAACATTTTCACGATGAATTAATGAACAATATCCCTGAGAGCTGTCAACTAATGACATGGTACGTGTGTGATATGCTTGTTATTGGTTTAACGTTGCAACAGCGTAGCGTGACAAACACAAACACGGCATAACATGCATTTTAAAACACATTCATAGAACAAATGTTGTATGTTCCACAGCTTCGGTGAGATTTCGTTAGGATTTCATTCCCGACATTGTTAATTATATTTGCGTACGGCACAATGTAATCTTTGAACTGCGTTCCGTTGGCAGGAAGTCGGTACTCGCGCACAGATGAGGTGATATATTATTAGTTGATGAATGTTAATTGGTTATATTGTTAGACCACAGTACTAACTACCAGCCATTGTTAGATATGTATAACAGCGTCATTGAATAATCTAAATAGATAAACATAAAGATAGCTTCTAACTGTACCAAATTTTGCTTCTAATATAAAATATAATAATATATAATCTGTCACGCCAGAACGTAAGACGTGTGAGCAAACTTTAGTATTCACATTTCACATAACAGATCAAATTAAATTCTACTGTACTACTATATTCGTAGTTAATATTTAAATAAAAACAAAACGGTTACAATGTTCCAACACTAAAACCATACCCAAAGTTATTTTCCACCAAAATAGCAACAAACCACAGCTTCTTAAATACGTAAAATACAACAGCATCGCCATGTTAGTTCAATAAGTCTACAATGTTAGGTGTGTATTAGAAACCCTTGTACCAAATGTCAGTAAATATATCAAACTATCCCGAGCAGTGAGCATTTACCTGTTCCTGTGCGATTACCGCTTCCTGCCCACTTGATAATATTGCCTCTGTGTGCCTATTAAATTGTGAATTTCTTCGGAATATGATATCTGATTCAGTCTTTTCTCTGCGCGGTCTAACCACGTTATTGTCTGACATGTCTTTTTTGTCCAGCGTGTTGGCAGTTAGATCCAGCGTGCCTTGTTTCTCGAAGGAGGCGCCGCTGCTGAAACAAATGCTCGTCGCGGGCGAGTCACTGTTGATGCTGCTCTGCCGACTTGTGCTGTTGTTCTCACTGTCCTGTCTCAACAACACAGCCACATTCTTCAAGGCCTCTATCGGATTGGTGGGCGGTGATTTCCTATCAGACGTTTTCTTGTCTGCTATCTTGATTTCGTTCTTTTTGGCCATTTTTAAACTGTCATTCATCTTTATGAAGTCCGTTAGTACAGGTTCGCCAGACGTCTGCGGCTTGTTTGATTGTTTACGGGAATGATTGAAAATACCACTGGATCTAAGTTGTTTGTTGGCTTCATTTTGATTATCGTGTTTTGGCAAATAAAACGCAGAGTGTCGGGTGCTTGATAGTGGGAAGAGGTCGGAGTTCTCTCGCCGGAAACCTCTAAAGAATCTGTTCGGAGTATCATCTTGCTCCTTTTTGTACTTCATGATGTCTGATAGTTTGTCTTGAGTTGTTTTTTCTATCGGTTTCTGTTGTATTTGTTTATGACGGGCCGGCGGTGTCGCTATACCCTTGTACTTCACCCAAGCATCCTCCATTTCAATTCTAGATTGTCGTTGGAGTTGCATCCGTTTTTGTTCAGAGTCTTTTGTTATATCTTTTTTTTCTTCTTTGAGCTCAGCACTTTTCGATGGGAAAAATCTGGCAAAGTCCCAGTCCTTCAGCAGAACGACCTCATCGACCTCCGTTTGTATTTTATCTTTCTCAGTCTCCCTCTGATGTTATAAACAACAGTGCAAAAAGTACACATCAATATAAAACAAATTCTAAGTTACAACATCAAGTATTATTTATTGTAGTTAGTGCTCACTAATCTTACTTTGGCGTGATATACTAACATTGCTGTTATATAAACGAAGGAATGATATGTAAACATTGTCTCAGCTTAAAATGTATAGGAAATGCTTTAAAATAAAACATAAGATCCAAAACATTTTCCATTAAATAATAGCGGACTGTTAACACAAATTAGCAGTAACATGAGCGGAATGGCACGAAATAAATGTAGTTTTCAATATCATTTTGGGTATGTTTACTTATATACTTATTGACGATTAAAGCCAGGGTCACGTTTTATTTACCTTTTCTTATATAGTATAATGAATTACCCTCACACAATCGATGTCGAAAATAAAGTAGTATCTATTGTTTGAAATCGAGTCCCTGACATTAGTCGTTTAATAATTAAAACAGTTTGACAAATTGAAAGAGTTCATAAAAGAATAAAACAAATTTTTTGCAATGACTGCTATATAAAATATGTATGATGGAATAATTAAAAAAGGAGTAATTATAATGAATGATGAAACAAGGATATAGGTTGTGGACGCTTCATTAAGATTATGTTTTTTTTAAATATGAATTTAATGTTTAATGAACTGTTGGCAAAGCGATGTCTTTATATTTTTCATCACACACGAATAACTCAAAAACAAATATCACATTTGAGTGTTATTGAAGAAGCCTCCTCATTCACATCTTATACTCGATCAACATGTCAAACGTGATTAAACGCTTCTAATTCCATATATACGTACGGAACTAGAAACGTATAGTATGTACATATAGCTGTAGTTGAATGCATAGCTCGTGTTTAGCATTCCCTCCTACCACGAAACTTACCCGCTTGACGAGTGTGCGATCAGCGTGCGGATCGTCATCGTCCGGCGTCGGTGGTAGAGGGCGAGTGGGCGCGCAGCCTCCGCAGCCGTCCTCCGACACAGCGCTCAAACCCGGCCTATAGCAAAACTCGGGACTGACAAGCGGAACGGAAACGAAAACGGAACGAAAACAAACGAAAAATATAAAATGCAAACAAAAATAATAAGGAAAGAATACACATCATTAGTATAGAAGATCATCTGTAATATTCATAGAACATGAATTAAATAATTAAAATATGTTCAAGTAACAGATGCGGAAAGATAAAAAATCAACGACATTCATTCTAAGTTTTCTATTTGAATTTAAATCTATGTATTATATGAAATATATGTATAATTATGTTTCATAGAACGTGTCAATATAATTAAATCTCACAGCGGTTTCGGAGGGTCGCTGGCCAGTAATGTTCCGTCGTTGCGGACTCTCCCTCCGCTTTCCTCAGCCTCGGAGTCACTTTCGGATTCTTCGAAAGTAGGTTCCTGTGTATTCCTTTCCACTGGAGGACCTTTGTAGAAGACATTTTATGTATTAAAATATAAAACACAAGCCAACAATTTATATGTAAGTAATTAATTACCTTGTCCGTTAGTTGGCGCCCTCGGAGGCCTATTCGGTGGTTCATTGCCTGACACCACACCCAATTCATTCAGTTGCGCGGCCAGTTTATCTAGATCCTGTAGATTATATAACAAACCTTAGCATTATATATTTTTATAATATATACCATATCTATATACACTCTCAATATGTATAGTTATTTTTGTTGAATATAAAAAGCCAACGTTAACCCACCTCCGGCCGTCGCGGCGGTATCTGCGTCATGTGCAAAGAAAAACAGCGTGACATGAAAACAAAAACACAAGCCAATAAAATAAAATAAATTCACATACAACAAAATTATATAACATCCTAGATTCATGCATCACATTCTACATAATAGAGGATACGTTATCGAAAATTTCATAAAAGCTTTTAAATAAAAACTATACCAATAATCAGAACAATCGTAAATATAAAACTAATTGAGAGTATAATGACGTTATATATATTTTTATACAAAATTACACGGAACACGGAAAACATTAACATATATTATTACATATTATATGATTGTAATAATACTATATACGTATCACCCTGTATGACAGTAATAGACGGGTGTTATTTAATTCGACGCTGGAAAAAATATATAATTTTATAATTCTTAACATTTACTGAAATAGGAGAAGTATCGTATATATATGTATAAACTTCATTTCAAGAGAATCTATCAATCTTGTAAACTAACGTGATCAGCTGATATTGACTTGTTTATGGCCCTAGAGTGATGGAGTAGTTTTTAACATATTTTAATCTTAATTATTATATTAAAGTTTTTATATAAATATAGTTTTATTTATTTTGTTAAGTATTTATAAGTGAGCTTTTTTAAAGAGTTTATAAATGTAGAACGAGTGGGTACACAGAGGAATTTTTTTTTCATCCTAATTACATAAAAAATTGCGCACTTTAATTAAGAAGGGTTAAAGGTACCGAAAAAACTTGTTGTATATTGAGAAGTTGGAATGCTAAGCATTGCTAGAGGAATATAGGATACTCCTGGATGGCGGTAAATACTCGCGTTGTCACGATAGGGGTTTAAGAAATCATACGTATTTCGGTAGTCAGAGCACCAAAAGAAATAACCACAAACTAACGGTTAGTACGTTTTGTGAAAGAAGGCACTAGCTAGGGCCATAAAATCAACGTCAAGCTTTATTCGATCCTTAAGGGGTTCAGGATTGGGCTATAATAATGGACACGTGTGAAAAACAATACAAAATCCCAGTTAGTATTTGTGTGTCGGCCTCCAGACCAGATGTATTTATGTATTAGAAAATTTTAAAGCCCGTTGTGATAATAGGGCTTACAGTTACATGGGATACCAACTTCTCCAAAGACCACGCCATCAGGGTCAATAAGTATTGTAGCTCAAGAACGGCTACGCTACTTTAAGTAGGAACAGAGTTCCCCGGTCAGCTATTCATTCCTAAGTTTGAAAGTAACGCTGAGGAAGTCGCGGACAAAAACTATTTCATAACGTAATTATCATGTACAACACTCATTTTTCAAAGACACAAAGACTTTAATGAGTCAAAAATGATCGTGTCAATTTGACAAATGCAAATGTTCGTGTATAAAATAATTTTATAAAATCAACATATAGGTATACACAATTTGTTTATTGAGGAAAAGATTGTTAAAAACAGTGGTGGGTTCATTGTGATGTAATTATTATCAGGACTGACATTCCATTGTAATTGTAAGAACGGAGTAATCGTGGTGAAATGCTTTGAAATGGACTATTTATACATATATAGGTTCTTACAAACAAAATATAAACAAATTTAAGTATTTTTTTAATATAAATACTTTAATAAAATAATTAAGATTAAATTATCTTTAAGAGTACTCAATCAGCTGATCACGTTTGTTAACAAGATTGCCAATTTCTATTGAAATGAACTACATAATATATATATACTTATTCATAGCATAAATCTCACCATAGGCTTGAAGTGTTGTGATCCGCGTTGCGGGGGCTGCGGTCCGGCCGGGGGCGTGCCGTTGTTGGAGCCCGAGCTGTTAGAGGAGCCCGACGACTTGGGGGTCGGAGGCAACGGTCTGGGAATTTATTAAGCACTTTTATATATCTTATAACAATAACCTTATATAACAATATGAATTGAAATAAACACAATTATTGATCACAAGTCGAAGTTAACTTTGTCCACCTATTTATTATACAAACTAGCTTCGCCCGCGTAGGGTTCCAAGAGAACTTTTCAAAAGTCTGGGATAAAAACTATCCTATGTTCTTTCTCAAGGTCAACTCTTTGTCTGTACCAAATTTCATTAAAATCAGTTCAGTGGTTTAGGCGTGGAAGCGTAACAGACAGACAGAGTTACTTTCGCATTTATAATATTAGTAGGGATATAACATCTATATATCTTTATAGTTTAAAGACGAAAACTTATCGTAAGATTTTAACAAAAAATTACTAGTTATTAAGGCTATACACGCAAATTGTTGAATCGAATGGTACTTTAAAGGATAATCATATAAGAAGTTGGAATAGTACTAACAAATCATTTTAATTATTGTCGTATTTAGATAGTAGCAATATACAACGTGTAACATAATTAACGCACACCCTGAAAGTAGTTTGATCAGAATCGGATACCGGATCGATTTTGATAGTTTTTTATGTAGGTCATTTTTTTTCTCAAATTAAGATAGAACTAAGTAAATTATAGTCACCCTACACACAGTTATCTAAACATTTCATAGAAACGAAAATTAATGGAAACGAAAATGGATCGTAAGTCAGGGTATTAAGATTTTTAAAATGAAATATTTAATTAGTAATCATCATTCAATTAAAGAAAACTGATACTTATTTCAAGGCTAAAATAGTATTTAATAATAACTACGCACGCAACACCATAGCGACAACCGGCACACAGCAAGGTCACTACAGTGCATAAAAGAAAGCCGCGTAATACAAAAATTATTACTTTCTCCTTCTTTCTTTGGCTTAATAACATTACAATAGAGCGAGACGGCAGGCTAATTCCAGGAATCAGAGTAATAATAACTAAACATAGAAGTCAACAAATGTGTTTTGGGTAAATTAGTCACGCCGCGTCCACCTTATCGAAAAGAGGTCAAGTGTAAAGTGCAAATAAAATCTTAATCGCGCATTTCGCTGAGTCGTTTCGGTACACTAACATTTAATACATCAAGTACCTACGCACGTGTCCATTGACCTCCTAGATCAGCTGATTTGACGCGACACGAATTTTTTTTGTGGGGGCGAATTAAATCGCTAGTTTATAACACAGAGATAACAAGTGCCGAGGAAGTAAAAAATAAGATAATAACCGCCTTTGTAAAAGTGAAAAGTGACATTGCAGTATTATCTAAAATAAAACCACAATTGCGAAAACGGTCATTAAAGTGCATTGAACAAGGCGGTGGACATTTTGAAAATGTTTTAAAACGACAACGCCGTGCGAGTGCAAATTAAACTGTAAGTTTGTTTATGATCTTTAAATTATTGTAAATATTTTGATACACACCATTTAAACAGGCCGACTGTGTTTAACTTTGTCGTAGGTATTGTGGTGTCTAATCAAATCACGCGTTATCAGCTGTTTAATAATTCTTATTTACAAATTTAATTTAACAAATCAGTAATTATAAAATATTGGCTTCACATTAAAAAGAAAATTCAATGTCAACAATCTAAAGCTTGAAAAGTGTGATGGAAAGAAGAATCATAAATCATAATGTAGTTATTTCGTGTACTTATTATTACCTACTTCTTATTATTGTCGAACGGCACTCGGAGAGAGGGGCGCGGGCGCGGCGAATACTGAGTGTCGCTGAATAGCAGACCATATTATTTGCACGAAATTGGGATAACTAATTTCACAAATAAAAAATTCAAACGCACATATAAATAATATTTGGTGTATGCATTGCGTTTATATCATTATATTCGCATTGGGGTATTTGAGGTTGTGCGTTAATTACGTTACACGTTGTATATTTTTAAGTTATACTTAAACTGTAACAAAACACCAAATGACATCATTGGATATTTCTTTAAATTGATATATTTTCTTACATACCTATATCTATTTGGTTGTTGGGCCTGCGGGTCTGGCACTACGATCAGTCTTTGTGGAATTGTCGGCCTCGCTGGTGGGCCGGGTTCTGATGATTATTATAATTATGACATTTATTAGTAATGGATTGGTGTCATGATATGATATGATAGGAAGTCATGATATGATAGGAAGGTGTGATGTAATCAAATGTACCTGGAATTTCTTCACGTTCATCGCGTTTACTGTTACGCTTCGGCGGCGGTTGAGGCTGCTGGGCCTCGTTAGCTCTGCAATTTACAATAACACCATTATAGAAACATTTCTGAGCCATGTAGTGTTTTATAATGATTAATGTTTAAAGTAAATATGATACATAAATAAGTCATTTAGAGTCATATCGAAAATTCATCAGAACAAAACAGATACTAGTGTCCGACCGAAGGTCTATTTTCGGCCGAAGCCGAAGCCGATTAATCGGCAATAGCCACAATCTTTGGCAGAAGCCGAAGCCGAAGGTTTATAAGCTCTTAGTAATTTTGTTCAATATTGTCTACAAGCTACAATTAATGTTATAGATTATTTCTAAACTTCAATATTGAAGATTTATATTGACTGTCTCATATGGAAGTGGATTCAAAGATGATAAAAAAAGTTTGTGATTTATCTAAAAATATAATCATTTATTTATTAAGTAATTCATAAATCACAAACAGACCAATCAATCAGTCTTTGTTTACTCGACTAAGTCGAAACTAGACTAATAAATAAAATGAACAAAGACCAATTTCTTAATAAAAAAATTTTGGTCAATTAAATGCACAGTTTAGAAAATATTAGAAAATTCAAAATAAATGTAACAATAACAATAGTTATAAATAATCAAGTAATGAATGTTTTGCCAACAACAAGTTATAAGAATAATATTCTATTTTACTTTCATTCTTCGTCTTTAGTAATAGTTCGTTCAATCCCGACGGTTGCTCGGATCTTCGGCTTCGGCCGGGTTTTGGGCCGAAGCGGAAGGTTTCGCCGAAGATGGTTTATTTGGCCGGAGGTGGCCGAAACCGAAGCTTCGGTCGGACACTTATAAGACGACTTTATATTTATTTAGTTCAACTACATATAAAGTGTTATTCTAGTATGCTTACCGTCCCTCCTGTATTTGCTGGAAGTTCCTCCTCAGCGTGTCACCTCCCTGGTGAGCGGCTGCATTATGTACTATTGATGAGGGCTCTCCAGCTACAGCATTATCTTCCTCCTCGCCCTCGGAGCCCGAGTACTTGTAGTCTTCACGCACCGAGTTATCCTGCTTTCTCTTCTTACACCTGTCTATATGATCCTTCAACTGTATCCTCACCTGCCTCTCAGTCGGCTGATCCCTGAAAGATTTAATTTATAGTTAATTTATAATTCACCTCAAATTATATTTATTTATATGTAAGTTTATTAAAAATGTTGTTTAATTGCAGTTATTATATACCTGATGAATGAATGTTTCAATAGCTGTTCAGTGTAGGGGCGCTGATGATAATCTTTCACGAGTACAGTCTCAATGAAGCTGTGAAATTTTTTCGCCCATCTCTTCGATTTCAAACGAGGTGGTGGATTTCTGTGGAAATAAACATTATAAGGTAATACATCTGTATAAACCAATTGATACAAGGTAAGAAATGTTGGAAAAAGTATGTAAATATAAAAAGAACTACCTAGGAATAAGGAACAGAGCTCGCATGGGATGGAGATCACATAACGGCGGTTGGCTTTCGGCCATTTCAAGAGCAGTTATACCAAGAGACCAAAGGTCAGAGCGATTGTCATATGTCGCTTCAGGGTTCTCATCGCAAGCAATGACTTCCGGCGCCATCCAATATGGTGTACCAATAAAAGTATTTCTTCTACCAATTGTTCGATCCAACTGTGCAGAAACCCCAAAATCCACTAGAAAATTGAAATGTAATTCACATTTTAAATATGCATGTGCAGAACACAATCAATTTATTTTGTATTAATAGAATGTTCGTAAATTTGAAATATCTATGTATGAAAAACAAATTAAAAAATATGTTACAAAATAGATAAAAATTTTAATATATCACTACATAAAATCGCTAAAAGGTGTATTGTTAAATTTTCAATAATATAATACAACTTTGCAATTGTATTATCATTATTTCTGGATGCAATGAAAATATATAAATTATACAAAACAAACTGAAATATCATAAATAAATGTAATCCCATGCATTTGAAACTAAATAAATGTTACACTTGTGGAACAAATCCATTAATATAAATAGAATAAAAATTTGTTATTGTTCATATACTTGTTTACATCAAAGAAAATATTTATTACAAAGTAATTAGTTTAACCACTTCAGAGATACACATAACTAACAATAGTTTCTAATGAACACTATTAGATATAAATCTAATAGTACTCATTATGACTTCCTTGCTAATTCTAATTCAGTTTTCAGGAAATAGAAAAATAATGTTATTTTTAATATGATAAGGTAATGATTCACCAATAAAATAATTTTAAGCAATCCGATATATTGAATTAATCAGAATTAGTAATTGTATCTCTAGTCCTACCTAATTTAACTTCAGCATTGTCTGTAAGTAGCACATTCTGCCCTTTGATGTCTCGATGTATAACTTTGTTTGAGTGTAAATGACTGAGTCCTCTCAAGATTTCTCTGCATATATAGGAAATCCATTCCTCTTTCAAGGACTGCCCTTTGGTCGATTTCACCAAATCAGTAACAGATCCTACAAACCATTAATATACATATAAAAACAATACATAACTATTACTCTCAAAATTGTAAATAATAAGAATGAGTACACTTTGAAACAACAAAATAGAATTAAAATATATTAAATCAATCATTATGGGCATACACAATATGATAATAATATAAGAGATAAATAATAAATGTCATTAAGTATAAAAATAAAAATAATGTTTGTATTATGTTAGACACGGCATATTGTTTCAGATAGAGGTCATTGATCTATACACATAGTTAACATTCAAGTACTTAAAGCTCTGATATTTATATTATCATAATAAGATATTAATTTTATTGTATTATTTATTACATTGTGTATTTAACTTACCAGCACCACAATATTCCATAACCAGCCATAACTGGTCATCTTTACCGGGTGGACTTTTCTTTATAAAAGCACCATAATAGGTTGCAATGTTGCGATGGGTTGAGTACTTTTTTAAAACATTGATTTCAAGCTTTATCTCTTCTTCTTCATCTTGTGTGACATCCATAACTTTGATGGCAGCAAGTTGTCCTGTTTTTGTGTGGCGTCCCTAAAAATAATAAATATGTAAAACATATTTTCTTGATTATGTTTTAAAATTGTTATTACATATGCATATCCAACATGTTTATATCCAATAATGTTTATTATTAATTTAGTTTATGCGTTGTACCACCCCTGTTATCAGTATTTCCTTATTTGAAACAGCCAACATTAAAATGAGTGGCTTTAATTAAAGATAAAAGTATACCAATCATAGGGCCATGAGTGTGACCACTAGCAGTTGAGGAATATTAGGCCACTGCTTGATTGTTGATAGGCAGATGAAAATTAACTCTGTTCATTGACATTAATCACACCACTTAAATGATAAAGACAACTAAAGTAGTAATGAAATTTTACAAACATTGGTAATACAGTATTGTGCTATATGTTATTTATATAGCTTTTCATATAACTTAGAAAATAATATAACATGTTAGGATACATTACTGAATACTATACATACCTTGTATACTTGTCCATAGGTGCCATTTCCCACAACTTCTATGAGTTCAAATATCCCAGCTGGGTCCTGAAATTATGTATACACAAGAAATGTATAGATGAAAGCTAATTATAATCCCTATAGAAACTTTAACTATGATTCACGCCCTGTGAGATCATTGCACTCGAGGGTATTTTGAGAGGATCTTGGTCCTACATGGCTTTATCGGCGGTGGTTAAAAATTATGAAGTTCAAAAGTTTACCTTCAGAGCACTGAGGTCAATGTCGTCCAATGAACAATTTACAGACGGTGCCAGTTGATGCGCCATTTTGAGTATATTGTCACACACGAAGACAAAGCATGAGAACCTCACATCAATTTACAAAGGAAATTAGAAACCTTAAATTACAACATTGGACTATATGTTTGTAGGATTTTATTCTTGCACATACGAATTATTTATAAAACACATTGTTTACAATTAAAATTACACTAAATTACAGATACACAATTTATATGCCGCACACACACCCGGCAGGGATGCCAGTTGCTAAACTCAGTATCTGCCATCATTCTACCAATTTGATCTTTTCTACCCTATTCTACTATAGATTATAAAACTCCAGTTCAGAACTTCTATCTTTTAGTGAAATGTATAATAGAAATTGTTTCAATTGTGATACTTATATAATTATGAGATAAATATAGGCTTACACATTTTGTGTTCTTTTTTTAAACTAATGTTCTTACAGACATATTAAACATTTAAAATGTATTAAATGGGAAAAATACAATAAAACATACCTGTTTATTTTATATCGTACAAATGTTCAAAATACATTTATTAAATAAGCGTGTGTATTTATGGGTCAAAAAATTTTAAAAATACAAAGTTTTTTTTTTCATTTTCAAATAAAGTACTAATAATTTCATCGTGACTATCAGTTTATAGTAAATAAAATCATTCAAAGACAAAGAATCTGTTAATGACTTCATTTTTTTATTGGAATTTTGTTTAAGTAGGTCAATTAAAGATAAAGATATTGGTATTCTTTTAAAAAGAGATATAATAATAAATTATAATAGTTGACTGACTACGTATTATATAATTTGAGAAAATTCAGGAAGTGGCTATCTATATTGACCAATAAATTATTGAATGTTATTTCAAAAGTTGCCTGTTTAGGATTAAAGAAGACGCTTAGAACTTTTTTTAAATTTTGAGCTATTTTAAATAATTGAGAGTTTAGTATCTTACAATTTTTCTCATTTTATTGCGTTGGTGAAGATTAAAATGTTGTCATATCTAAAATAACATCGTGCTTCATAGAAACAAATGACTCATTTTATACTTTGGTATTAATACAAGTCATGTAAATTGTGGAATAATATAATTTGTCGATGCAAAACGAGGCTTAAACTTATAATTTTCGAACGAACATTACTGTGCGCAACAAACCGTTTTGCTACTTATTACCAATTTAAAATTTAAATTTATAATCAGAATAAAGCTCCAAGTCAAATTTATTTTTATAGCTTTTTAGTAAAATTTAAAATATATTGATTTTTAACCATCCTGATAAGATATTTTATTTTGATATAAATTACACAGCTTCTTGATGTCAAAGTTGCCTACATAAAGATTTTGTTCTAGTCAGAACTAATCCAGAGTCAAAAACTAATCCAAACTAAGGTTTGCCATTTATTTCCAAGAAGGCGACCTTTTGATACGAGGTAATAGACTATAAAGTATAAGTAAAGAAGTAATAGTATTTGTAATAGATTCTTCTATATATTAAATAATAATATTTATTTGGCTATAAATAGAAAAAAGTTTTTAAAATGGTTTATAGAAGAATAAATAATTATAACATTTTATAAAAGAACAAAATTCATTGACGTATACCATTAACCGATTTCAAATAACAAACCCACAGGAGTTGAGATTAATCTGGTGCGATAGAATGGTTTCATTGACGTAAGATTTTATTTGGGGGAAAAAAAGTTTTGTTTTAATCACTGATTCATCCTTTCTACGAGACAGACTGGTTTGTATCGTAGGGATAGCTAACCAAAGAATTAGGCATAAATAAAGAATTAAGAGATTTTACATGAAGAGTTACATAATTCTAAGACAAAAATATTGTCGTCAAACACCTTATATTAAGCTTAAATTAGAAATAAACTTAGAAAAGTACATAGGTACATTTCGTAAAAAAGACTTCCCTCAAATTATTTTGAACTAATTAATTTAAATAAAAGGATGTTATAAGTTACAGTTTATGTTTTTGCAAGTAAACAATGAGTTATGAGAGTCGTCATTAAGAATAGAGCTAGTTTAATTCTTTAATTAGCAGAACAAATCACACCAATAATATTTTCATGCTTCTGATATAAAACAATAGATTGAGAGTAAAATATGTTCTAGCCCTTTGATTATTTTGAAATAATTGTTTAAACTATTAAAACATTTCTGGTTTTAAGAACCAAAGAGAAATCTTTGTACCGGTTGTTAAATTTAATCGTTTTTGTATAGGTATTTAAAATAAAGGAATTTTGAAAATAAGTTATATGTTTGCAATATTAACAATCTTCGGAAGTTTGATGTTTAATCTTTTGGAGAAAAACATTATAATAAATAACATGAAAAATGTTAATTCACATCTTTTCTAAACTATGGATTATTTACTGCAAATAGGCACCGATATCATATCTAAATATTCCGTTTTGTTATCTCATGTTTGACATTCATGTTCAAAATTTAATTAACTTTTTTATAAGCTTTTTTTCGCTTCACATAAGAAAACTCATAAAAAATATTAAGATCGTTTGAACAATTAAGGTTTTGTAAATTAAGAATAAACAATTGTAAATAATAAATTGTAATTGTATAATAATATAGAACCCACAGTCATTCATTCTCGATTCGAATAAAAATTAAATTAGTGAATAAAACTAATGTAGCCTGCTATCATTAGAGCATAAATTGTGAAATCTGACTTGCAAATCTGGACCGCGAGGGTAACCTTAGTTGTCAATTGGCTATCGTTGAAAAGACGTTGTTCATCAGAATGTTATATCATGAATCATGACCTTATTGAAATATCTATGTACGTGATCTAATTTCGGTAGGTGAAGGTTGTTAAATAAAAGGTTAACTTAAACAATAAGCTTGGTATGCCTGAACACGATATAATAACCAAAAAGTACCTCACAGACAAGCCACGACCGAGTCTAGGCCGTTTATGGCCTAGTTATAGATCGCTGAGACATGTGTTGCACAAACAACAAACTTAAATTATTGACTATTATATATAGATAGACAAGTAAAATAAAGTCTCGGTGCTACGTGCGGCTGCGCGGCCGTGCATACCTAATCGTAAGATCAAAGCACGCATAGGTACTTTACCAACTCCGATACCCACACGACTTTATCGGGTCGCTGGCTGCACATGTGTGCGTGTTATAGCACACACACACAGCCACAGACGGCAACACTAATAAAACTTACCAAGACAGAAGTGCGGTGTACGGTACTATTTGTTTGGAGGGAGGTTGTGGCACTCATACAAGCGAGGGAGAGGCTGTGTTGGCGCGGCCAGCCAGTTTACCGTTGCAAGGCGCGTTGTGCGGCCGGACGTTCGACCGTCACCCGCCGCCGCCGGCACCCTGTAGCCCGGCCTCGCAACCTTCCACCTGGACCTGGACCCGGACCTGGACCTTACCAGGACTGTACCATTGAAAAACTTGTGTTCTACGAGGGGTGTTAAAGACTAATCACCACCTATATTGATCTCTCACATAGAGACGAAGTGCTACAACTCGTGCTTAATTCACTGAAGTGCTTATCCCAACTCTGGTTCTTTATTGGATCGTCTTTGTCTATATTGAGGTAAGTTTTAACATTATAAGAATATAACAAAATATATCTGTTTTCATAAATTTACATGTACTTACCACGTAGCTAGGTAGAGTTAGCCGTGACTAATCTTAATATTAATGCAGCCGTATAAAAAAAATGAGAAGTATTTTATAGTTATAATATAAGTTGTAAATCGTAAAACGTGTTTTGTTTTCAATTAATGTTTATATGCTATAAAAAACGTGGTAAATAAATGAAATAACCTTCCAAAGACTTGAACAATTTATTTATAATTCTATAACTAATACAGGGAACGGAAACGTGGGAAAGACGAATTTGATATGAAAAGAATTCTTATAGTTACAGTTACACGCTGTCCGAAATTTTATATATTTTGCTTATAAGAATCCGCTTTTAATGTTTTAATATGGGGACCCTAACGCTGGTATCAAGCAAAAAGTTTTATTTTAGCGAGTACTGACTACGTGAAAAGGTTTTATGTATTAGAATAAAAACAAGTTTGGTTCAGCCATGTGGTGGACTTATCTGCAGACATTGGAATTTTATACAGCCATTAAATAAGTTGCAACGCACGTTTGGCAATCGTTCTTTCCGCGTTTTCGACAATGATTAAGACATTCTAACACATATATTTAATTGACTATGTTTTTGAATTTTTAATTTCATTTAGTAACACATAATTATATATACTATTATATTACAATAGGATGGTAAAATTGCAGTTAATTATTAAAAAGTCACAGTCGCTTTCACAGTTTATTGTAATGTTACATAAAACAGATTTTTAACATTAATACATTTCATATGAATATTCAATGTTAATATTTTCTTTTTATATACAAATAATTTTGCACGTATTAAGAGATATATGCATACCACAAGTTTGAATACTCATACGAATCATTTCCCGTTTCTCGTTTAATAACCCGTGTTAATAATATAATATACAAAGATTTATGAATCAAAAACTGCGCACGCTACGGAAGTCATTTGACTATCCAAATTTTAAAATCATACTCAACTCTAATGCAATTGATTTTAATAATAATTAAGTATAATAAATCCATCGTTATTAAATGTACATCTAAAAGTAACAATGTCACATAATAGTAGTAGTAGTAACAATGTCACATAGTAGTTGTTAAAATAAAATTAATTATATAATTCGCGAAGAAAAGCAATATTTTGTTATTCTTTTGTATAGACTAACAGACAATAATATGTCACATGTACATTATCTTAAAGATCCGTTTAAAACACAATTTAATCACCTTCGCATGGTTACAGGAATTAAAAATAGTTTTTATATCATGAACAAAAATTTAACACCGTATCCATATTTTACCGGAGTGTAATTCGACCAGAACTAGATCATATCGGATAGTGTGAGTGCATCCATTGTTTTTCATGTAAGAATACTCACCTCACTGATATCTTATTCATTTTGGACGAACAAATATTTCTCAGCATTATTATGTTCTAGATATAATTTATTAAAAGCTATATATCAATACACAAATACAGTTCCCTATCAATTTGATATGGAAATGTACTAGAGGCGTAGGTTTAATAACATAAAGCCCACTTGAATTACACTGTTACTTATTTATTTTAAATGAAAACATGCATGCATTTTTAGTGTTATAAATATAATATTGAATATTTTCAACCGTAATTCTTAATAGGTTTTAGAATATGACATATAGTTATTATGATTGGATTATGTATCGTAGGAAAATTAAAACTCTTTGTTAATAATAGCAATAAACATCTTAGAGAGCTAAATGGTTTTCAGTACATGTTGCAAGCACTGAGGACATCAACGAACGAAGATTTCACAATATTATGCTGTTATTAGACTTTTATAAAATGTAATGACTACAGTTAAGTTCTGGAAATCGTTTAACATCTTGATTGGATCCTTTTATTAATGTACTTATAGTAAATTTTAATTACATTTAGGTTTTCATTGACATATAATTTTGATTGTTAAATATCCATGAAATTACACTACTATAAGTGTACAAGTAAAATCAATGATATCGTTTTGAATGGTTTATATGTTTTTTTTTGGATAGCAAAAAAACAACATATAGTTTCACATTACTAACACCAACAGTATCGTAGGCAGCATTTTAGTAATATTACCAAGAATTCGCCTTTAGCTGTAGAGAAATGCCATTAAAGTCAGCGGGCGCGGTTAGGGCGTTACAAGCATTGTTCGTGCGGCTTGCAATAATATCTATTATCCTATGAGCATGAGCCGATGGAACCATGCTCGCCTTACGTAACGCTCCATACAAAGACATCGTGTAATTTGTCCCACGGTCTACCATCCTATACCTGAGGTTTCATATAAATGTCAAGATAGGTCTCGGAAAGCGCTAAGTGATTTACATATCGAATCGATCTCTATGAATAAATCTTATAAATTCTATATAACTTAAGAGGAAACTGGGAAGGGTTTTTGTGATGCAAAAATTTCCATTAAATATATCTAAAAAGTTTAATTGGTGTAGATAAATAGACGAATTGTAGTGAAATGACCGCCTTGACCCTATGCGGAAGGTTTAAACTCGGCCAACCGTGGCGCGCTCCTGCGTAGAAATTGTTCGTCCTTGCTAACACAATACGTAACCTTTGGCCCTGAATAAGTACATCGCACCGACATTTTTGCACAAATACTACTATTAATACTAAATTATATATTTAATTTTTGCGTTTTAGCTTTATTTGTCGACTTAAAATTATACTAACCTCTATTAATACCGTTTAACTCTAAATGTATTTGAAATTATGACAGAAGTCAATGTGTTGTATTTGGTATGTGAAGTACTTTGTGCAATGACGAGATTTTTTTTAACATTCTATTGGGTAAGACGTAACGATTCTTTCAATGCTTTTAAATTATCTTGAGTTGTGCAACCAATTATGTGTTGCCAAAAGGTATAACGAGACTGACAGGTTGTTAGAGATGTATACTCTTTTTTTAATATCCTGTCCCTAAATTGATTGAAGGAAATATGTTCTAGTTCGACTTCCTCCTGCTTGATTTGTTTCCGCTGTATTTTTGGTGTAGGAGAAATTATTCAAGTTAAGTATACAGATACATTGATAAATATACATCCAATTAACAAGATTACTTCTGGTTGTTTTTATGTATCTTTTGAAAAAGATTCTTAAGAATTAAGAAGAACGTAATATCTTTAATATCTACCAATATAAGATTTCTCCTCTTTTTCTAAATCAGTAATATAAAACCAAGCAATGGATTACATTTCTTAGGTGTTTGTGTCAAAATAAATTAGTTTTATGTTTTACTGCTTCAAAAATATCTATTTAGATAATTAAAATTTAAGACCGTTTTAATCTCATAATTTATGCTCATTTTACTGTTTTCATATTATAAATTATAATAATCGAAAAATCTTCCAGTGCTAGAAAAGTCTTCTCGGAATTATACTAAGTAATATATGGAATATCATATACATTTTTTTATTCATCAATAAATAAAAAAACATAGTATCTAACTATCTAATAGGTCTAAAAAAGAAATCGCCCAATTCAAAATGTTTTCTTACAGTCAAAAGCGTGACTAACGTATGCATTAAGATTAATAAGTCGAATTTTACTCTATACTACATGCAGACATTAATATATGTACATACGTACACACACAGACGTAATGTCTGACATTTTTTTTCGAATATTAGAGCCAAAGAAACCACCAAATACCGCTAGTACCGCAGTCGGTTATTGCTCTCGGATTCCGCAACAAATTAACATGTATTCGGTACAACCACATTTTATACTTAGTGTCTATAGAATAATTGTTTTTTATTAAGATACTTGTTTAGAAGCGCTTTCTAACGTATGTGATATTGCCATATTGCTTGACCTATTTATTTTGGCGGCATTCTCATTAAAAACATAAAGACCATAATGGAAAGAACCTGAAGTCTTTAACAGATTAAAAAAGGCACATGACGTTCGAGAAAAAAAAAAACAAGAAATAGTTCTATTTTTTTTTAACAAAAGCAATGCTGAGTAAAAAGTTAAAATAAAAACATTTTTTAATTATTTTACCATTGTAGACCTTGATTTTGTTGTGTATTTCCTGTATTGTTAGTACTTAATAACAATTCCTACAAGATTTACGATATATTATTAAAAACCAATGAATAATATATTAAGTTATTTATAAACATAGTTCATTTGTACGGACACATAAATATTAAATTTAAAATTAAAGATATCTAAATTTATAATGATTTTTGATTGAATGCAACATAGAATTATAATAATTTATTAAATAGAAACTTATAAGGTAATTAAAATGTTTCGATAAAATCCTTTCGACCAATACTTTATTATATGTTTGTCACGAAAAATTAATAAAAGACTACATAATTTTATTCAGAATGATTCATACACATATATAAAGTCCATTTAAGTGAATTTAGTTAATACTTGTAGTACGATAAGAATTTAAAAAATAATTTATTATATTAATGTGAATTCAATATTGAAACATTAATCAAAAACATGGATGTGCTAAAATTATAATGCACAAAGAATGTTGTAGACATCTAGTCGAATTAATAACTGGTTTGTAGAAATATTCGCTGATAGAGTGTAAGTGAAAGCTATGATCGACGTGCATAAAAAACATTCAAGTTTATATAAAATTTTATAAATAAATATAATCAAGAGATGATTTCAAAACACACATTCACGATTAATTATGTTATTATTGTTAATATTATAAGTGAAAACATTTTAAAAGTCTTATCAATAAAATGTTTATAGACAAATTACGTTCCCATTATACAATACTTCCGATAATTGTGACTCGTATAATAATTTGAGTCAATGAAATTAGATTCT